GCTCTTGAACGCTACCGTTTTGACACGTGATCCATCTGAAATTGTCCGAAAACACGTCATTGCCGTTAAATCATGTTACTACCGACGTTACTGTTCTTTTTCATATCCAAACAACGAAGTACTAAGTGATGAGAATTACCGAGCACCTAATCTCACTGGAGCCAACTCGACAAGGTTTGCCGGGTTCAGGGCGACAAAGAAAAATCATTTTGTCGAAACGTGGGCGCTGACGACATTCACTCGTCGGCAGTCTCTCAACACGTTCTCTATTATGTGTTTTAAAGGGACGCTCTGTGTACACAAGGTCGTCGCCAATGCGTGTGATCTCGACTTTGTCGATTACAGCGTCGCCCCGGTGAGTCCACGGTGACCGGGTCGGGCTCTCCCATCCTCAACGCCGCCCCTCCACCGTCGCCATGGCAGGTGGTCGACGGCTGGGTGGACGAACCTTCACGCGCTCGGTATCGCCTCCTTAACCAGGACGCCCCACAGTTCATGCGAGATCTGGCCATCTACGACAATCCCTCGGAAAACGTGGTGAGTAAAAAACACGATAGCCCATTTATATGACCAGTAGCGGCCGATGACCCTTGATATCTCATTCCAAGAACTGTTCACCTCCCCCCCCCCCCCCGAGATGACCACCAACAGCAGTAAGTGGTAGATCTAAATAGCTTGCCGTTTGAACGTCGAAGGAGATTAACGCCTCGCATTCACGACGTGGAGGTCCCACGTTCGTTTCTGCGCGCGGTAGTCTTTTTTCTGGATTTTTTTTCTTTCTTAGGTTTTATATATATGGATACCTATACATATATGGAGCATTACATCGACGCCGACGCCCACGTTGACGCTGACGTCGGTGGCGAAATCCAGTGGAGAGTGTCCATATAAGTGCCATACCAATAAAACTCGGTGCGCGCTACTCGTGATATACTGACTCGCACACACTGCCTACATAAGCGTATCAGCCGGAGGGGGGGGGGGGGGGGGGGGGGGCGGCAAGGGAGGCGCGAGCCTCCCACTGATAAATTTTGGGGAGGCTGAGCTCCCCCACCTCCAACTGTGGTCAGTCTTGGCTTGCCGCTGGGGAAACCAACAAGTAAGGCGTAGTTATCCATCAACAGTAATCACTCAACTTTGCCCTTACGTAATTAAATTGTTACGAGGATATGTTACAACACAGTGGAATTTTTTTGCCAACATTTCCAGTGTGATGATTGTTCTTGTAGGCTTATATATATATATATATATATATATATATATATATATATATATATATATATATATATATATATATATATATATATATATATATATATATATATATGTGTGTGTGTGTGTGTGTGTGTGTGTGTGTGTGTGTGTGTGTGTGTGTGTGTGTGTGTGTGTGTGTGTGTGTGTGTGTGTGTGTGTGTGTGTGTGTGTGTGAGAGAGAGAGAGAGAGTGAGTGAGTGAGTGTGTGAGTGAGTGAGTGAGTGAGTGAGTGAGTGAGTGAGTGAGTGAGTGACGCTACGATGAATGGGCGACGTGGCCTGGCTCATACCCCATGTTTATTCCATTCTCACAACTTCTTCCTCAGCCTCTACCTTCAGTCAATACCTACTTACGTTACACGATTCCCCCTCCCCCCGAAAGAAGGCATGAATTATGAACAAGAAAAAGTAAACAAGGAGAGGATAAAAAGTCACAAATGTCAAAAGTCACAATTGGTTCTATGCTCCATAGGAGTTCCGTAAACTTTCAAAGACATCAGTGGAGAGTGCAGCAGTCTGGTTAACGCAGAAGTTCTGGTGGGCGAGGCTGACTGGATGGCATAACCACACCCTGGATATCTGCACTGGTGGTGACATGGATTGAGTTCTTGCGAGGAACGGACAAGAGTGGGAGTCCCTGTAGCATTTGAAGTTCGGATGTTGAAGGCGTCGAGTTGCGTCTCGTGACGGGAACAGACAGTGTGCTTCCAGTTTGCATGTGCGATGGTCGCAGCTGATAAAATCAGAATGATGTCTTGATCTCTGCGTTGTACAGATGGTGCCTTCTTGTCTCTTTCGTCGTTTTCTGCTGTTTCGGAGCTGTAATCGTAGGCGCAGTCTTGATCTCTTGCGCCAAATGCGTTTCTGGCGCCGATCCCTTATGCGAAGATGCCTGACGTCTTGAATTTGTTTCAAGAGGCTTACTTTGCGTCGTCGTCCTTGTCAGTGTATCCGTTGGAGTGTCTGCGATTCTTGGACTTGCTTTTGCTGGCGTTACTGTGGAACGCATTGCGGTGAGATCCCTTCTTGAACATCGCGCTGGTTTTCTTCACAACTTGATGTGGTGCCCAGTCGGCAGCTGGTAGTTTGTGGGCTGTTGTCATGCACTTCGGGCAATGAAGATAATGCTTCAGAGTTGGTAGAAAGTTCTTCAGAAGCTTCTTCTACCCTGTTCACTACGAGAGGCTCTTGCGCATTGCAGCGTGCTACGTTTGATGCGTCGGAGCCTTCGGTGTTGCTTCCACTGTCGAGTGTGTATGCACTGGATGATGATGCATGAACCCGTGCGGAAGGAGCATGGCTCGACAGGGTATTTTCCTGATGCGCCAGGTCATCTACCATAAATACGGCGTCCTTATAAGGCAAATGGTGAGCGTTAGGAGCGCTTGAAGAACTGCATGACGAAAACACACGTGGTGGACCACGTATGTGAGACGAAGAGTGAACGGCATCAGGTGGTTGGGCAACGTCTCGGGTCATATGCTGAAGCGATGACTTGGCAAATGCCGACTTTCGTGCAGAAGGGAGGCGCTTGATGGCTGTGTTTTTCCCAAAATACGCATTGTCGTCTGCCACTGAACTCGTGTGCCATTTCGTCTTTTGTCAGAGGTCGAATCTTGTTGTGCGTTCGAATGGTTGAAGACTGCCTGTAAAATTGACGACTGAGTGCAGATGTCTCTAGATGATGGGTTACAAGCAAGTCTTCGTCGTAGTCGTCATCGTATTTTTTAAACCAAATGATCATTTCTTGTTTCTTGTTTTATCTTTTCCCATAACTCGTCGTTTTGAAATATGTGGGTGAGGTAGAATTTAAAGGCCTCACCGGAGACGTAGTCGATAAAGTTGGCGACCATCTCCCGTTCCGACCATGATGCAGTGGTTGCGTGGTGCTCAAACAGGTCGAACCAGTCCTGTACAGGTCCATCGTCCACTGCTCCGGTGTACTTGGGGATGGGAAGGTCAGTCGATGATTCTGGCATGGTGCTGGTCGCAGTGTGCGGCCAGGAGATGATTCCGTAGTCGATGTATGGTCAGGGCGTCTTGTGGAGAACTGTGTCGACGATGAGACACTGATGAAGTGGCTGGGAGTTCTTCATCCTGTCGACTCGTGTGACGCTACGATGAATGGGCAACGTGGCCTGGCTCATACCCCATGTTTATTATATTCTCACTTCTTCTTCCTCAGCCTCTATCTTCAGTCAATACCTACTTACGTTACACACACACACACACACACACACACACACACACACACACACATATATATATATATATATATATATATATATATATATATATATATATATATATATATATAATATATATATATATATATATATATATATATATATATATATATATATATATATATATATATATATATATATATACCAGTTGACGAGTGAGGTACGTTGGCCTTTGCCCCCTCGCGAAAAAGTTGGTACGCCACTGACTGCCTATACTATACTGACCACGGGCGCGTGCCCGGAAAGGCAGGGCGGGGGGGGGGGGGGGCTCGAGTCTGCACCTTAATTTCACTTAGTCGGACCTGCCCCGTGATTGTTTACAGAGCAGGGTTATGGCCACGCAGTTTCTTTGCGATAGTGGTGGCCGATGACCCCTGATACCTCATTCAAAGAACTGTTCACCTCTTCTCTTTACTCCCGCAAAGCCATTGACCACAGGCACGTTATTGTGAGAAGCACGTCATCACCCCTTCATTATGATGGCTTCATCCATTGTGAAGCACGTTGCCTTCCCCACCTATACCTCCATCACGTGGCGTCATAACGACGTGACTTTTCCCTCACGTTATATGGTAACGTCATCACGTGATGACTTTGCTTAACTAGCGTTAACCCGCCTCTAGACGGTAGTCAATGTTTGCGCTTGATGAGCGTCGTTTTCTCATCTCAATCAATACTACTCACGTTGTAGGCTAAGGAGTGCAAACAGTTCGTATTCAAGCTGTTTCTTATTTAAACTTATTAATCTCGCTCTTGAATCGATAACAGTAGCTTTAATAAGACGTGTGCAAGAAAGGTTACAAGGCAGGCGCCACTGCTTATGCTACTGAGAGGTGCATTTGTGCATTGTTTCCTGTATCAAAATGTTTTATATTGATTGAACAATAAGCGCATTCACAGCATTTCAAGAATTCCCTAAAGCCGCCGTTTTTCGTTTTCCCTTGCAGCTCTCCACATCTAGTGCAAGCAATCCTCTCGAAGCCATTGCGCACTAAGTGGTTGCGAGGAAAGCTTCCCTGAAGTCATTCTGTAGGCCAATGCTCAATTTCTTGGCCACCGCGGTCATAGTGGCAAGGGTATTACCGTTTATGGACGAGCTATAGGGCAAGTGTGAGAAAATAGTGCAAGTATACTATTTAGCAGACAAAAAACTTTATTACCCGCGAAGTCACGGGCCGTGTACTTACGACCCTCGATGTAGGGGACCTTCAACACGACCTTCAGTGTCAAGTAAAACCCGAACAGTGGCAAGCCTTCGCGATGGTATAGTGCCTGCCGTCCACTTTGCAGCATGGACAGGCACGCATATATGCGCAGAGCTGCCGAACAGGATGTGTGCGCCTGTCCATGGTGATAACTGGGCTGTATGCACTATACTATCACGAAGGCTTGCCGCTGTTGAGGTTTCATTTGACGCGGATAGTACGTTAACATAACGAGTTAAATCAATTCGTGCGCGTCGTTTTTGCAGGTGCATCGCCAAGGCTGGTCCAATATACAAATGGCAGCGATCGCAGCAGCCGTGTTCCTGTGCGCCTCCTTGCTCTTCGTTTCTGTGCTCATCGGGATGCGATTGACCACCTCCGGACCGGAAATGCTGTGCTCGAGCTCAGCGTGTCGCGATTACTTGGACCTAGTCAAGCCATCCATCAACACGTCCATCGACCCGTGCCGCAGCTTCACGCACTTCGTGTGCGACGGCTGGGAGCGCGACCACGTGTTCAGCGTGCGACAGCGGCAGTTCTCCGAAGTCGTGGAACGAGTCCGGGAATCCACGTTCACCCTGGAGATCCCGGTAAAGGGACAGAACGAGACACAGATGGCGGCCGCCTTGTTCCGCAGCTGCGACGACGTCGTCCACGGAAGGAGTGACCACCTGACCCTGGTCAGGGAGTTCCTGCGTAGCGCTGGCATCACGTGGCCCCAAGTGCCAGAGAACCCCGGCGACCTCCTGTATACCCTCTTGTGCACCTCGCTGAGGCTCGGCTGGGACGCGGTCGTCACATTTACAATCTCGAAAACTCCCCTCGCAGACGTCCTTGTAGTAAAGCCTGGCAGCTCGTTTCCGTTCATCTACGACAAGACGGCCGGCTTCGAGACGGATGAAGGGAAGCGCGTGTACTTCAACGAGCTCAAGCGGGCGTTTAGAGGCGACCGGCGCAATGTCACTGCCAAGATGGTCAGCTATGAAGACACCATCGGCGTCGAAAGCATTGCGCTCGTCAAGCTAGCGGAAGCTTATTCGGTAAGCGAACGGAACGGTTCTTTGACGCGGGCGCAGGCATTTCTCGACGCACCCGATGCCGGCCTGTCGGAAGCTCGATGGATAGCAGCGCTATCCTATTTCCGGATCAATTTTACGGGGGAGCTGAACTTGGTAACCAGGTCCCCCGGTTACGTTAAGACGCTCGTGATTCTGTGGGAAGCACTTGGCGAGGCTCAGATGCACTCGTTCGTGTCATGGTGCACGGTACAGGTGGCCGCCTTATACTCTAACCGGCAACTTATACTCAACTACTACGACAAGGACAGTCACAAGGCGGAGGTCTACAGCGACGCCTTCTGCGTTAGTCGTGCCATGTTAATGTCGAACGCAGCGCTATTCGCGGCCTACACATTCCAAGTCCTGCGCAGTGACACCATGGTCGACGCTCGGGAGGTGACACTATCCGTACGCAGAGCATTCCGAGACAGGCTCGAAAAGTGGCCGCACTACGACGAGAACATCACCGTGGTGAGCAACTGGACTTCACTGGACGTGCCGTTCCGCAGCTTCACCCACGAAGAAATCCCGACGTTCGCGCGGGGTTCCCTAGTGGACATGGACGTCGGCTCTCTCGTTCACAACTGGGTTCTTCTTTCCAAGGCACTGACAGGCACGCCCATGGAGAACGTCGTCTCTGAGCTCTACGCCGTCTACAAATTCCGCTACCACGTGCTACCTCAGGGAGAAGGCGACTTCCAACTGATGCCGTACGCCCTCCATTTCCCGATGTACGAAGGAAGCCTGCCGGCAGCTGTCAATTACGGAGGGCTCGGAGCCGTCGTCGGTCGTGCTCTGGGGGGACTCTTCGTCGACGCCTACCGCCGGTACGGAGAGCCGGCGTCGGCCGCTGTGCTCGCCGATGCGAAGTCCTGCTTGCTAGACGGACAGTTTGGGGCAGTGGACAGCATCGAGGATCTCCTGGCCGAGGCATATGGCGTCGGCGCCCTCGTGGCCGCCTACAAACTCGCCGCACCCGCCGACAACTCCGTGGAAGGCATGCAGGCGTACAGCAGCATGCAGATGTTGTTCATCGCCATGTGCCACAACAAGTGCCAGGGCAGCATGAAAGGCAACAAGGACCCCGAGTGCAATGCGCTACTTCAGTACGTGCCCGAGTTTGCGGACGCGTTTCAATGCGAGGCTGGTGCGCCGATGAATCCGTCGCGCCGTTGCCAGTTTATATGAGTTGAAGCCGTCTGCGGTCTTCGGCAGGCTTTAGGCACTTTTTACGATATCTCTGAAAGAATACAGATGTTTGCATTATAACCGTTGGTAGTGATGCAGATTCTCTTGCAAATGTATGTAGCGAATGGCCTAACACCAATTGTCTTATCAGGGCTGTGCGGGGCAGCAACTTCTATCGAGGATACGTATATCTCAGTAGCTTATCTTGTCTATTCTTGCACTTCTGTCGAGGCATATGCTCATTTACATCATGTGAACCTCGCCGTATCACTTGGGGAAAAATTAAGCTTGCGAGAGGCAGCTTTTGCAAAACACTTTATAAACACCAAGTGTTTTTTAATTACGTTCAGTTGTAAAATTGTAATGTAAATTGTAGTTAAATAGTTCATTCTTATACTGCACGAACTCCGCAATTCAGTGGTAAGTTTGGTCACGGTGATTTCATTACAGTCGTTCAGTGGATATTTTTTTTCGAGTATCAAGTGCCAAAGGCAATGTCAACTTGACCAATCCGCCCCTTCTTGCTGTATATTATTCCTTTCCCACATTTATTCATGCGCTTTGAGTCAACAATTGTACAAGCTAATGACAAGAGAGGAGGCTTATGCTCAGGGATTTTTATTGGAGTCTGCTGAACGCATTAAGCCAACTTTCCGGTCTAATATCGAGAGACCCAGTAAGCTGATGCTCCACACAAGGCAAGAGAATACACTAGGATGCTGGGCCGGAAGTGACCGAATGCGCAAAGTATTTATTTCTCATTGCCCGGCTCTCACATGTCCATTGATGAGACTGGTGTACGTATTCTCTGAAATATCTTACGCGCGCTTCTGTGGGAACGTTAACGGGAAGGGTATCCCAAAGTTTAACATCTGCCCGCCCAACGACTTCTTAAGAACACACGGGCCCCGATAGTAAGACAGCTGGTGGAGCAACGAGTTTTCTAAGAACACACAGGCCTCGATGGTAAGACAGCTGGTGGAGCAAAAGTTAATAATGCTTTACGTACATGTCTCTCACACTTGCGGGTGCCAGGCTTTAAATATGAATTGTTAGATGCCAAAATTGACATGGCACGGTCGTCACACGAATAACGTATACATACGATATCGTGAAACAGCTCTTGTCGCGGTCGGTCGGGGAGCAAGTAGTGCAAGGCCCAAGTCTCAAATCGTTTCCCATATTTCAGTTCCCTCACGGTCACAATTGACGATTCTGTATGTAAGTTTTCCGCTATTTTCTTTCGTATATGTGGCCACATATTATGTCTCTTGGCCAGAAAAACAACTCGCAGCAACGTTCTTTGGAGGAACCCATGACAGAACAATATCAATTAATGGCACATTCAGGTGGCTGCTTCAGAGCTTTCTCGGGACTCTGAAAAATTTATGTGAGAAAGCAAGTCAACATAGCTACCGAAATAAGCAGCTCAGCGCATATGACAAGAAAGAACACGACTTTCATGCCTGTTTGCTGTCTGTGTCCGACTTCAAAGCTACTGAATTCAGTGATTTGATTTACAGCTAAGTCATTTTGGCGCAGCTTCTGGATCAGATAAAGCCCCGCTTTGGAGGAGCGAATGAGCCTACCAGCCCAAAATTTTTGAACGCCAGAATTCATGACTCTAACATGGAGCAGTTGTACCATGTTAGATAAATATGTGAACGCATATTAAATTCTAAGCATCTCTTTCCGTTCTGCAGACCCTTTGATCATTTCTGTTTACGTATCTATTGAAAATGGTCCCAAATACTGTGAAAATCTTGTGTACGACGTCGAACACTTTCGTGCAGACACCAGTGGCACATACCCATGTACCACGTACCAGCCGCGGTATGCGCCACAGATGTTTGACAGTTGGTATCTACCACGATGTGGTGTCTACCCAGGAACGGAAGAAACAGATATCGGTAATTTAGATGCCATAGCGTTGAGGAAGTCCAGCCTCGGTTACTTTGACCAGACGAATTCTAAGGACGAATGTTGTGATCCGTGGCACTCAAGTATTCTACCGCTGAGCAACGCCAGGTCTCAGAAGTAGCTTTGCAAAAAGACCCTATGCAGGCGTAATGTTGCTGAAACGCGGATCCATCGTATTCGTTCAGACTGCAGCGCAATCCACTTGTGCTTCTACCACAGCCACTCGATCTGCACTCGATCTCGAGCGCCCGAGCTTCTTTGCGAAACGAGTTTCAAGCAGTGACTTGGCTGCGTGGATTTCCCGCTCACAAACAACGTGGCAGACATCGAAATTTCTGCGAACCGAACTCGTTAAATGTGTCGGTACTCCTGCGAAATATGTTTTCCGTATTTCGCGGGGACCGCAAAATAGTGTAAATGAAGTTTACTTGAATAAGAGAAGCCGGAAATTCCGCAATAATGCTTTGCTTCAAGCCAAGCTAAGGGTCGAAGCAAATTTGGATGTATTTGGGCTACAGCGGCATCGTCAGCGCGTTGGCAATCGATGCCGCCGACCATTGCGGGCGGCGCAGTTGGTGGAACATGGCACCAAGCACACAAACCTTGATGCCGCTTGCAAAAAGATGCACCGAAGTGTAGTTTGTTTCTTGGGATTTAACGACAGTAAGCGAGCCGCCAGAATTTTCCATCCAAAGAAATGCTACCACCACGGTCGAGATCGAAACGGCGTGTTTCAGGTCGGTAGCGGAGCAGTCACCACTTAGCTACCGCAACAGCAGACGCACACTTGACACAGCACCATGGCCGCGTGTGGAACGACAAAAGAAAAAAAAAAACGCAACAAGAACACCCCACCAGCGCAAACAATAAGGCCGACTGAAAAAGAAAGGTCGCGTCCCCAATTATGCGGAGAATTAGAAAGTGTTGCGCATGACTTTCTGTCATGTCACCGATATTCAAATTTCTGAACACTTCTCATCACTGCGCTTCCAATAGGCTTAACCTCAACTGAGGAATGAGCCCCTTTTCCGGGTAGGTCCAAGCCACATCTGGTGCCACAAACATGCAAATGTTAGCCCCAGTGAGAGGCGCAAATGCAGGCCTCCGACATTGCCTACCGGCATGTGGCGGATAATTTCGGAGTCCAAGAGCTATTAGCTTTTATTTTGGCGACCTCCACTTTGGGTGCTGTTCGTACTAGAAAAAGGCCCATTGTCTTAAGCTTCGGTGTCTCGCGTTTGGGATACTGCTATAGGGCTGCCTTTGATGCCGTGTGCAATTTCATCACTACTAAACGAGTACCATTTTAATCTTGAATTTGCAAATCTGCAAAATTTCTCCCATCGGGTTATACGAGTCTGGAATACAAGCTCAATATTATGCTTTCAGTCTTAATGTATTTCAAATTACTTTAGGTGTATCATGTATTTCCCTATTTTTATATTACCTAAGATTTTTCAAATAGTATCTTAAATTTTCAACTTTGCATTCTTGGCCAACAGTAACGTGGATGCATGCCATAGATTGAAAACAAAACTGACAAGAGCTTTTGCGGGTTGTAGGTCGAGCACGGCCTCAAAAACTGAAAGCTTGTGCGTAAAATACCTGGATCTTGTTTAATTGCCCTAAGTATTAACCATCATCGTCACCATTTAATCTTAAAACAGTCACTTTTGGTAACCATGCTCCAGGGCAATGCTTTTCCAGCACTTAATGAAACACATTCCTCGCTCATTAATGCATCGCAGTCGCATGTTATCCGCTGGAAGATGCATGGCTTCGCAAGTCTTTCAAGTTGGGACGAAAATCTAGGCAGATGCAGGCTGTGCCACAGTGTGCGATGGGCAGGGAGAGAAGGCAGTTGTCGGTACTCGGGCCAAAAAAGGACCTTAAAGGTGCACACTCCCAATTATGGTGACAACACAACTTGCCCTTAGAAGCCAAACATGACCCCGCGGAAAATCTAGCATCTACTTCCAAAATTTAAGTGACACGGCTCAAAATGAGCGACTTAAAACTAAGGTATGAGACTGAAAATTTGGTCGCAAAAATGCATTAGTGCCATGGGAACCTTGATGGTACCTTGATGAAGTTCGAAATCTGAATTTCGGGTGTTCAAAAAATCGGTCAGCGACTGTGTGACAATATGAGCCACTGCAAAATGCACTACAATGGATGACAAAATAAACTGGAACCAAGGTGAAGCGTGCAAGTGCAGCATCGAGTGGCATAATCATAGCAACAATGAGACACCAGCACATGACAAGGAGAGCCTTTTATTGTCTCTGGTGATCAGTGGTGCCTACTCCAGGCCTCGCAGTTCCCTCTGGATCTTCATCCAGTTGTTGAGGGGGCCGTGGCCACCACGGTAGTGGCAGTAGCAGCCGTCAGGCTTCAGCCGGCCGTCAGCACGCATCTCCTCATAGTCCTCGGCATCCCACTTGGTGAAGCCCCACTTCTTCGAGACGTGCACCTGCAACAAGAAAATTTAGAGAGTGAGTCCCACAGGCCAGACTGATACACAAGGGGCAACTATGAGAACCAAAGCAACAGTAGCACTTATTTGTGCAACAAAATCTCAGTCACACAATCTGGGTTTCATCACGGGGGGAATCAACTTCGAGCGACCTTGGCCGAACCAGCTGTTGGGTATGAAGACAGATTGGCGAGGAAGGGAGGGGTGATGTAATCCTGAGGCTGCTTAGTTATTGCACCAAAGCAGAACCCTTGAGGGGCCATAAAAGGCATCTAAATATGTAACACTCCACAGCTGCTCCGGGCCACTATCCAATCAACCTTCAGTAAAAACAGCGCTCCTAAATTTTTATATTTTTATGCATTGATTCTCATGAAACACGACATATGCATGCTGGTTTGAAATCTGCAACTATTTTTCAGAAATGCAAGATGTCATTTGCCTTTAGGGGAGCAATATTGTTTCCCAAACAGTTAAAAAATAAAGTATCCAATCTTTACTGGAAAGGCAACTTCGTGCAATGCAACGAAAATGGATGTTCTAAGCCCAATAGAACAAACGTTATGGTATGTTCAGAGGTGCAAGTGGTCTTTAGTGTTGTGGAGCAGCTTTCTAGGGTCAAACATCGTGAATCAAAATTGTTTCTGGTCAAGAATCATTTCAATTTTGTGTACTAATGAGCTTATCAGACTTCCCACCCACAAGTGTGTGTGTGTGTGAGAGAGAGGGAGAAAATACCGTATTTACTCACATAATCGGTGCACTCGCATAATAGGCGCACCCCTAGTTTGGTCGCGGAAAATTCGATTTTTTTTAATTCCGCGTATAATAGGCGCACCCCGAACTTGGCCGTGATCAGAAACGATTCTACCCCCCAGCGGTACAGTTGGAATGCGGTCCCCGTGCCCTGAAGAAAAAAAGAAGGCAAATCGACGAGCAAATAAAAAAAATTCGAAGTTTGTCGAAATAAAACTTGAAAAAAAAAAAAAAGCGTCCATGAGCGAAAAAAAAGGCTGTTCCATCAATTACTAATACCCCCCAAATCGCCCCGACTACAGGTGGTAAGATTAAGAGGCCGCCTGTGGAAATGCTGTGCGCTTGGATCGTGGAAGCGTGGCAGGCGATCTCCGACGCAGTCCTCAGGAAAAGCTTCAAGAAGACGGGTATCTCGAACGCACTGGATGTGAGTGAGGATGACATGTTGTGGGGTGCGGATGATTCGGACACCGAAAACGAATCCCCGCTCGGCGAGGATGAATGTGTGATCTCAGACTCCGACTCCGAATAGGGAAAAGGAGGAACAGCTACGACTTTTGTGTAAATAAATTTTACGTGTGTGTGTGCAGTTGACGGCTCTCGCTTGTTCATTAAAAGGTACGTAGGTATGTTTGTTTTATGCTGAATTAATTGGTAAACGATAAAGTCGCCTTTTACTTGACAAGTGTGCAGATTTAAAGCGCGAGAACCAAGTTCAAAAAATTTTCGAAAATTTTACCCCGCGTAATTGCCGCACCCCTAACTTCGAGCCGGATTTTCTGAAAAAAAAGTGCGCCTATTATGCGAGTAAATACGGTACATGCATGTGTGCCCATTGTTAAACGTCCAGCTGACAAATAACCGAGAAAATAAGGGACAAGCGATACTTATCTCTTCTCTCCATGACCGCTTAATAGTAGTAGTGCACTCAGCTAGGCGCAGGTTTGTTATCCCCGCGCTGATTAAACACCCTACTCTGCTCATCTGTACTTGGTCTGGCACCGAGCGGGGACGAGCAATTAAGCAATTCACACGACAAATCCGCGCACACGGTACTGCCAGCCGCCCGCAGCAACAGCGTGGGCAGCATAGGCGACGCAATGCGTGCAACTAACCAGGAGAGGATAGAGTCTACGTGGCCGCTCAATGTTTCAAGAAAACCGTCTGCTGTCCCTTAGTAGTATCAAATTGCGCCTGAGAAGCGCACATATGTACGGTGGAAAGCAGACAGTGTGTTCTGTTGCTGAGTATTCCAGACCCTGTAATAGTTTCAAAAGGCCCCTTGGCGACACATCTGAGCACTATAAACTAATCATGCAAGAGTTCCACCTTAGTATATTTTCCGCACTTTGGCAAAAAAGGAAGAGAAAACTTTGCTGGATACTTTGGGCAATATCTGCTGTGGTAATGTATTGGCGGCCAAAGAGCACCAATACAGTGCTCCCTTGGAAGATGAATAAGATCATGCCGCGTTCCCACCTGGTACAAATTATTGAGGTTTCACAGTATTACTAAATTCACGGTTATCGTACTTACTCCCGTAATCCTCGCACTCCCATACCGTATTTACTCGCGTAATCCTCGCACTCCCATACCGTATTTCCTCGCGTAATCCTCGCACTCGCATAAATCTCGCACCCCCCACATCGCTTAAGAAAAATACGATTTTCTTTTTCCTCGAGTAATTATCGCACCCCCGAAAACTGCTGCAGTAATGTCGTCTGCTCGTTCCAGCCACTGATGATGATAGCTTGCACCATCTCTTAAGCATCAAGCGTACTATTGCACGGAGATTCAATCCAATCCAAGCCAAGCCGATGTGGCCAGTGTGCGTTGCGGCGTGTTTTGTATGTTGTGTTGGTTATCTTGGCACGTTATGGGGCAATACTGAAGCCACACGGCTGCTTCAAGTTCCAAGTGATAGATCATGTGCTAAACAACGGCAGCAGGGCCGCCGGTAGTCCCTTCAGAGCCTAAGAGTTCTGCGTTTGCTACTGGTGACGGCAGCTGAAATCCACCAAGACGCGTTGGGCCTGCCGTGTGCCTAAAACTGGGATTGATGGTAAACTATTTCTTCAGAAGGAAACTGCGGACGATTCTGTTAAATAGGCATCAGCCCAATACCGACGTCCTACGCTTACCTTTTGAGGGCTCCTGTTGAGCGCCGACCGCTACCGCTACGCCCGCAACGACCACAAGTTTCGCGTATGTAATTCTAATTCTCGACTATTTGCTTCCACTTTTTATGTCTCAAATAAATCTTGCCTTGTGTTGAACCTCTGCTTTTATTGTTAAGGTAAGTTCTAATTAGTACTTTGTAAAGCTTGCTGTAAGTTGCCAGTGTGAGAATCCCGATTTGCGGCCACTTCGTTTTTTTTTTTTCCCGCTCTCTGCGTTTTCGTGGAAAGTTTTCCTAGCGTAATTCTCGCACCCAACTTTGCATCAGGTTTCTGGCAAAAAAAGTGGGGGATTATGCGAGTAAATACGGTACTATTGATGCACGGAGATTCAATTCAATCTAATCCAAGCTAAAGCGGCAAGTGCACGTTGCGGCATGTTTTGTATGTTGTGTCGGTAATCTTGTCACGTTATGGGGCAATACTGAAGCTACAATGCTGCTTTGAAGTTGAAAGCGATTGATCATACACTAAAAAACAGCAACAGGGCCGCCGGTAAGCCCTTTGGAGTCGACGAGTTTTGTGTTCGCTACTGGTGACGGCAGCTGAAAGCCACCGACGTGTTGGGCCTGCCGTGTGACCGAGATTGATGGTAAACTATTTTTTCAGAAGGAAACTGGGTATGATTCTGTTAAATAGCCATAAGCCCAATACTGACGTCCTACGCTTACCTTTTGAAGGCTCCTGTTGAGCGACGAACGCTACCGTTACGCCCACAACGCCCACAAACTTTGCGTATGGTATTATAATTCTCGACTATTTGCTTGCACTTTTTGTGTTTAAAATAAATCTTGCCTTGTGTCGAACGTCTGCTTTTATCGCTGAGGTAAATTTTAATTAGTACTTCTCAAAGCTTGCTGTTAGTTGCTGGTGTGAGAATCCCAATTTGCGGCCACTTCGTTTTCTTTTTCGCTCTGTACGTTTTTGTGGAAAGCTTTCTCCACGCAATTGTCGCACCCCCCCAACTTCGCATCGGTTTTCCGCCGGAAAAAGTGCGAGTAAATACGGTACTCATGTTGCTGCCATTATTTTTGCGTGGAAACCCCACCAATAACAGCGATGAGACTAGCACGCCCTATGAATGAACCCAATTACAATGTGAACAACTCTACATATGGTTGCGGCCTCGTCCGTTGCGTAGCCAAGGCTCAGTGTTGCTCAGTCAACGATAACTGCTGGCACATTTTCCGCTGCTCTCCTAAAGCGTCTGTCTATAGGCAACGTACGTCGCGTACCTATAATAACAATCGGCTAGATTTGACGGTTTACATTTCCAATCCACAATTATCGTGCAAATTCATATTTACGCGCAGAAGTTCGGATTGGCGAGAATTATGCACCACTTCCACCCCTGCATGTTCATATTTCTGACTGAGTCAAATCCAAACTTGGGTATCACTTGCAAATGTTCAACATATACTTTCTTCTAATGGGTTTAGCACATTCGGTTATGTTGCACTCAACACAGGTCAGCTTCTAGATCATAGCAGTTCACTGATTTGCTCCACCTCTGTTTAAAAAAATTTTGTTCACCAAAATTCACATTAAATATTAGTATTTCAGAAATTACACCATACTAGCAAAAAGACTCATATCTGGATTCCGGACAGATGTACCGTATTTACTCGCATAATTCTCTCACTTTTTTTTGGCACAAAACCAATGCAAAGTTGGGGGGTGCGAGAATTACGCAGGAAAAATTTTCCACGAAAATGTACAGAGCGAAAAGAAAATGAAGTGGCTGCAAATCGGGATACTCACACCAGAACATCGAAGTACTAATTAAAACTTAGCTCAACAGTAAAAGCACAGGTTCAACACAAGGCAAGATTTATTTGACACACAAAAAGTGCAAGCAAATAGTCGAGAATTAGAAAATCATATGCAAAGCTTGTGGACGTTGCGGGCGCAGCGGTAGCGTTCGTCGCTCAACAGGAGCCCTCAAAAGGCAATTGTAAGAAGTCAGTATTGGGCTGATGGCTATTTGTTTCCTTGTGAAGAAATAAAGTTTACCATCAATCCCAGTTCTAGGCACACGGCAGGCCCAACGCGTCTTGGTGGCTTTCAGCTGCCGTCACCAGTAGCAAACACAAAACTCGCAGACTCCGAAGGGCCTACCGGCGGCCCTGTTGCCGTTGTTCAGTGCATGATCTATCACTTTCAACCTTTCAACTTGACAGCAGTGTAGCTTCAGTATCGCCCCACAACGTGACAAGATTACCGACACAACATACAAAACACACCGCAATGAGCACTTGCCACTTTGGCTTGCCTAGGATTGAATCTCCGTGCAATAACAGTACGCTTGATGCTTGAGAGATGGCGCCAGATGGCACGTGTCATCATCATCAGTGACTGGAACGAGCAGACGACATTATTGCGGCAGTTTCCGGGGGTGCGATAATTACTCAAGGAAAAAAAAGAAATCGTATTTTTGTAGGGCGATGTGGGGGGTGCGATAATTGTGCAAGGATTATGCAAGTAAATACTGTATACATAAACTAAGTGTCATCAAAAGCACTCAAGAATTAAACATTAAAATGCCATGCCCCCCTCTTCCCCCCCTCCATCTGGAGCTGTTAGGGTGAAGGCTTACATCAAAATGGCAATGCGCACAAAGTACACTCTTGCTCACCGGTAGGAACAGCACTGGGTACAATAAGCAAAAGCTAACCTTCTGGCGACCTGGGAACTTGAACTTGGCACGTCGCAGTGCTTCGATCACATTCTCCTTATGCTGCTCCTTGGCACGCACAGACATGATCTTCTGTCCAATGTGCACGCGGGCAACAGTGCCCTGGGGCTTGCCAAAGGCGCCACGCATCCCTGTCTGGAGCCTGCAGAAATAGAACAAGGACATCAGGATTGCTCCTAGCACCTTTCAAGGTGTATGCTACCACCTCCTTTAAAAATGGAGCGCTTTTCTTCCCAGACCCCATTTAGGTATGTGGTCAGTGACAACCTGAACCTCCACCTTCAGAGCTGCAGCAAGACAGTTGTTTTAGCTAAAGATTTAATACCCAATTAAGTAAATACTACACTATTTCTACTACAAGTTTGACATAACAGCAATGTCAAAATTCTCTGATAGTTAAACCTGGATATAGCGAAATCAAATTCCCAAGAAAATTTGTTATAAAGAGGATTTCCTTGTATGCAGGTTCGGCATGAAAACTGAAAAATAAACATACATATAAACAAAAGGAAGACTGAAGACAGAGTAACCAAAAACACTCATTTTACAGTAAAAAAAAACTGCGTTATTATTGCAAAAGCAATTGTATGGACACTCGTCGGGTTTTCGACGTCGCTGCCATGTTCTGTAACATGCCCCCGCCGCACATCGCAACTTTCATGAGCAGGTAAAAGCGCGTGAGCCCTGCTGAAGCAGAGATAAAAAAAGTTGGCCTGTAAACAGAGAGTAAACCACCGGTTTTGAACGAGCACTTTTCCCAGGAGCGGCCGTATTTGCTCACACTAGTGTTTTCTACGAATTTCGCGATATCGGATTGAAAAGAGTTGGCTGCCAGCCTTTCGTCTTGTAATATTACAATTTTTTGCTATCGTGTTCGTAGCATAGCATTCAACGCGCAGTCATGTTGCCAGAACTAATCGGCTAATCGCGAAAGCTACCAAACTGCGAACTCGCCAGCGAACACCATGGTCTAGGAGAATTGCCATTAGCGCCTAATCCGACATTCCCACGGTGGCGAGAACACGTTTTGTCCGAAATTAAGAAAAGTCACAGTTTCGCCGCAAACGCGAAGCATAGAATGCAATAGCAACAACTTGGAATGTAAGCAGATCGAAACGTGCGAAACGCGGCTCACGCACGAACAGATACACAGAACAAGAACGAACTAACAATGCTTATCGCTCGACACTTAACGCGCTGTTTAAATAAAAATGGGGCATAAAACGTAATCACAGGTGCAGATACGAGTGTGAAGTAAGAAGCGCCCCAGTTAATTTCGTTACAGCGCCGTGTTTGAAAAGCGCACTCTTTTCACAAGCGCGCCTGCCCAGCGAGCGGAGAGACCTTTGAATGCAATTGTTCCAGTCAAAGGTGCGCAATTTTCCCCAACGATGGATAACCACGCGCACACAAGAATCGAACTCCCCACCCCCCAGCCCGCGGGACAAAGTATGCGTTGGAGATAAACACATGTCGGCACTTCTTGATGAGATGCATGGCGCCGTGCGCTATATATATTGTTACCAGGCAGTGGCCATGGCTCCACCGTCGTAGACGAATCGATGAAAAAGAAGCAGACTCGAAGCGCAAGATGCTATTAGCCCTGGGTGTCACACCTACCAGTAAATATTGCAAATACACTCGTTTCTCTCTTCCGTGTGTTTGTAATCCCCGTAACAAATTGGTGGACGTGCTGGGTAACGAATCACCATACAACAGAGCTCCGCAGTGGTCGTCAAATTGGAGTTTCCGTGATGGAACACGGGACTGATCTTACGGCCACCTCTCCATTGGCCTCGGCAACGCCTGCACCATCCACGGCAACGCCTCCACCGACCCATCCCACCCACGTACGTGCCGATGCATCCGAAGCATCCAGGAACGTTCTGCGGTACGGATGAAGTTGATGTTGATGACTGGATAGCTGACTACGAACATACCAGTGCGCTCAGCCGGTAGGACCCGACTCTCATGCTGGCCAACGTGCTGTTTTACCCGAAAGGCACAGCCAAAGTCTAGTACGAGAACCATGAGGAGGAAATCAGCAGTTGGAACACATTCAAGGAGAAGCGTCGCGACTTATTTGGGAAGCCCATCGGTCGAAAGGCGGTTGCAAAAAAGGTGTCTGTACATGCTCAGACATCCACAGAGCCGTATATCTCATATACACAGGACGTGCTGGCAAGTCGACGACGACATGTCGGAGTCTGATAAGGTTGGCCACATCCTCAAGGGGATAGCGGACGATGCGTTCAACCTGCTAATGTGCCGGAACTGTGGGACCGTCGAGGAAATTATACAGGAATGCCAGCATTTTGAACTGGCCGAAAACGGGCGTATTCCAAGGTCATTCACTCAACTGCCGAACACCGCTGTGACGTCCTCCTGTGAAGATGAACTGACCTCTCGCCGGCAGACTTCACCTGCGTCTGAAATTACGCATACGGTCCGACGAGAAATCGAAGCAATTACCGTAATTACTCGAATATAACGCGCACCTTTTTTCCGGTTAAGCAAGTTCATAAATAGCAGGCGCGTTAGAATCGAGTACGAAAAAAAAATGAATACGGTCATTTTATTGCCATCGGCATTCAAAAATGGCCGCCCCCAACGTGCGTCGGTCATTTCTGCCTATGTGTTTCCCATGTGCGGCACTTCGTACGTGTGCTGAGGAGTTCGTCATCTTGTAGTGCATTAGCATCGACGGCATGGAAAGGCCGACTCCAAAAACTCGACCAGTGCACCACGATGCCACTTTTATGAGAGAAGTCAACGCGTGTGCAGAAACGGACAGAAATCGGGCTGCATCGCGGCCGTTCGGAGTAACGCCAAACAGAGCCTTGCCGTTCGGAGCTCCCGAAATGTGCGTGCGGGACTGACGGAAACAAAAGCAGAATATTGTCCACAGCAAAGTTTCACGCAAAGGCTTCAGCGGACCACAGCAGGGTCGGTTTCCGCAAATTGAAGAGCTGCTCGGCGAGTATGTGATTGAGCAGTGAGCGGCACAGCGGCCCGTGACGACAGAACTGCTCTAAGTGCGGGCTATGCAGTTAGCTTTAGAAAAAGGGCTAACGTGGAGCCAGTTCAAAGCGAGCAGGTGCTGGCTAACTAACTTTATGAAGAGGAAAGGCTTTTCCCTCCGAAAGCGAACGGGCACATGCGAAAAGTTTTGCGGAGGAGTACAATGAAAAGCTTCAGTTTTCAGAGGGTCCTAAACTTGCGGCACAACAACGGCTCCCTGCTTGGGCAAATCGGGAATGCCGATCAGACGCCTCTTTATTTCGACATGCCTGGCACCACAACCGTCGAGAAGGGGGCAAAGCAAATTCGCGTGCTGACATCGGGCCACGGTAAAACTAGAGTGACGGCAATGCTCCGTTGCACATCAGATAGGCACAAGCTTCCCCCGTACCTCATATTTAAGGGGGGACGCAGCTTTGGGATCGCGAAAAATGGCAAAAAAATCGATTTTTTGAAACTCAAGTTTTCAGTTTCTGGAATCCTTTTTCTATCTGGTTCCAAAATATCTACACTGAAAGCCGCGCAGAAGTCCTTTGGAAAATTCGTTTCACCCACCTAGGTAGCAAAACTTTTTCTAGAAATGGCGAGAAAACGGCGATTTTAAAAAAATTATAGCTTCGCGATGCTTGGGCCGGGAGCCAGCTTCTTGGGCTCATCGGAAAGAGCACTTCTCCGTGTTTAACTTTCCCGCCTCAGCTGGCTCCTCCCTTTAACAACAAGCGAGCAAAAAGCAAATGTTTGAAGGTCGTTTTGAGGCCCTTGATTGGCCGTGGCCGCCATGTTGCCTCAGCTCGCCTCGCCGCTCGCTCCGGGAGATCGTCGTCTGCTGCTTGTGCGTCACGAGGACATGGCTCTCGAAAATCGCCACTTCATGACGTGTTCACAACTTGATAATCACTTAAGATATAACCACGCTTTAGTTACGAGCAGTGAGCGGATGCGCGATCAGGTTACTATGAGCGGGAGCGCAGTCTACAAGCGCCGCGCTTCATCGGAGTCGTCTTTAGCTCTAACTCCGCCGACAGCGAGACTGCGGGCAGGAATGACGAGCTAGCGCATTCGTGGCGACGTGCTTCTTCGCAAGCAACGAAGCTGAAAACGGCGGCACGATCTGATTACTACGAGTGGCCGCACCGGATGCACGATCAGATTACTACGAGCAGGCGCGCAGCGCTCGGCGAGTGCGGCGCGTCATTGGAGTCGGCTTTAGGCCCAACTCCGCTGACAGCGAGACTGCGGACAGGAACGACGCGCAAGCACACTCTTGGCGACGTGCTTCTTCGCAAGGAATGTATCACATCACTCGCTAGCTCCTCTGAATCACGTACGGGCATTTTACGCATCTGCAACAGGCAACACAGTCAAGCTCGGCACCCCCCCCCCCCTTCACTGCCAAGGATCGCTCGGAACAGCGGCTAGCAGTTTCGCGCGTCATTCGAAAATGCGATGCCAAGTGCAATCCGCACTGATTTTTTGTCTTCGTAGTTACACATTTCGCGCATCATCATCGAACGCCGCCGGCAAGTGCATTACGCGCCGGCTGCACTGTCCACGCGGCCGCGCACCCCAAGATCATATGAAGTGCTGTCAATAAGCTTTTGTGATGCGATTCAGACGTGCTTGCAGCCGTGCTTAATATCGCCACGAACGTCTATGAATGTTCCGAGGTTAATGAACTGCTGTAGATTAAAGTTTCCGCGACCGGCTGCATCATGATGCGTTTCACAGCTAGAGCGGCGAAAGAGCATGTATGAATCAGGGGCACGAATTTTTATATGTCCGTTTCGTGTCATTAATTATACTGCTAGAAATTCCCGTGCCACCAGTCTTCTGCCCATAACTTTGTTATTTAGATAGAAGGCATAGGCCGTCATGGTGTGATCCATTTTTCTGATGCAATAAGCCTCTCTCCAAATAAAGAAAAGTTCAGTGAATATTTTTAATCAAGTACTTAATTACACTAATTACAACTTCGGCACAAAAAAGAATGTGAAATAATTTCAGTATATGATTTTATTCAATTACAATCTTTTCTGTCATACCTATCACACCACTCCTTCACACAAAGAACTTGGTTTGAAATCCATACTTGTTCTTTGTAAATCATGAAAAAAAGTAAATCATGAAAAGAAGTCAAATATCTCAAGACAAACTTGAGATCACAGTTTTTTGGTGTCTTAGAGACGTAAAGAAAATTTGAAACTTTAAACGCAGTTTTCTCAATACTGTTTTTTTTTTTTTTGACATTATGCTCAGCCTCTCCACATGGTTCAATGAAGAAATAATTTGTTTCACGTAAAGTATGTGTGCTATCGCTTCAAAATTTTTATGGAAGCACTGTGAGGTCATTCTTAGTGTCTGTGCCAATTTTCATCAATATCCAACGAGAAAAAAAAAGTTCATTGAAAAAAGCTTTTCGAACACTTCGACAGGCTTTTTCTCACAAGTGTGTTTTGGACATTGTGCATTGCTCGTGGAAAGAGTAGCACGGGAATGACTGGACCGATTTTGATTCTGTTTTTTTCCTGAATCCCTGAACACTGCTAGTAGGTACAGCAATCTTCAATTTCTGTTTTATGGCACTGTTATTTTTCTAGACGATTTGTCCGTGCCAATGTTTCTGACAATGTGTGTCGACAGCCATGATGATCTCTAAAAAAAAGAACTTATTAAAAAATTCTGAGAGTGCCATACCCTGTAGCTTTCTTTTTAGTAAAGATCAACACCATTAGCAGCTTCCTGACATGTTTTGTTGCAGCGCTAGGCTTTCCACGAGCAGACCATGTAATTGGATCGTGTAGCATTATGTAACTTGAGAACTACTGAAGCTATCACGATGAAACGGCATATTTCCCTATTCAAGACACTTATGAGTATGCATGCCAAATTTCATTGCTGTAGGTCAACAAATAAAAACGTTTTTTGCAATGCCACCTCCCCCCTTAAACGGAAGACGCCCCCGAAAGTAGTCTTTCCCCGAGTGGTGTGATCGTGTGGACCAACGAGAAAAATGAGTGCGCAGTTGCAGTCGATGCCTTTTTTTTTCGTCATGGAAATCAGGTGCGCGTTACAATCGAGGGCGCGGTAGAATCGAGTAAATACGGTACACCTGCTTTTCCAACCAACAACCACGTCGATTCGCAAATACCTCAGGTTTGATTGGTACAGTCGATTCTCTCACACTGGCTCACACTGGATTGGTACAGTCGAAGAATGTTCTCACACTGGCTGCTCCTGGCATTATTCGTGTCGCCGACGGAAGAAGGCTTGCCATCACAGGAATGTGCATAGCACGCATCACAATCGCCGATAACCCCACATCTGTTCTCTTTACAGTTATTGAGCAGTGTCCCAATGACCTGATTCTTGGAATGGATTTCTTGTCCACTCATGCCGCTCTCATCGACTGTGCAACCGGCGTTCTCCAACTTGAACTGCCTCGACTTGGGGCTGTGCCATCCTCACAGTCACACCGCTTGTGCGCTGTTGATTATGTTCGGCTGTCACCGCAAGCCACCACATTTGTGGCCTTAACGGTATCACCAGCTCTTCAAGACTGTGACTACATAGTGCCTTTACTAGTGGATGTGCTCTTGGCCGGAAAGTGTTGCTGTGCCGCATACCATCCTGACTAACAAGGACAACTACATTCAGCTTCCGTTCCTCAACATTAGTAGTTCGACGCAAGTTCTCCCGCAAGGCTAGTTTCCCCACTTGATGCATGTAACATCATGGCATTAGACCCTGCAGACTGCTCGTCCCCTATTGCAGCCAGCCGAGCAAACGCACCTACCAACGAAATCACGATGATTGCCCCTGATAGAGTCAAACTGAGACAACGAATTACTCACTATAAAAGGTATTCACAGAGTTCCGGTTAGGTGGTGACATTAATTGCACCACCATAGCCGTGGCCATTCAGAAATCCGGCATATGACAAGTTTAATGTTTGGCAGACCTCACCACAACACTTTAAAAAAAATATAAAATCAACAGATTCTGAGTAAAACTTTGGTTGTAATCGGACGTCTGTGCACGAGAATGCAAATAGGGCGACTGCCGAGCTAGCCCCTCTTTCAGATGACTTCACACGAATACACTCCAACTGCCTTATAACAAACTTGTATCTTAAATGAAAATAAGCTCGTTATATCCAAAAATTCATTGTAAAGGTTTATCCCTAGCACTATCTATTACAAGACTATTTTTTTATTTACTTCTTTATAACCAATTTTTCATTATATACGGGCTCATTAAGAGGTTAGTGTACTTATATTGAACAGCCCGAAAATTCTCGAAATGTTTTTGATGCATCAAATATTAGATGTCTAATAGCCTAGACCCATGGAAATCTCGTGTATTACCCTTCAGATTTGAAATACCCTGGTTCATCTGATTTCTTAGCTTGTAATACACTAGCACCATACTGCAACCAAACCAAGTTCCATTCAGAAGTGGAAAATGAGGCAAACAAGAACACACCTATCAGCGCCAGCGCACGACAACATTTTGTTGATTCGGATGACGTGGAAGGGGTGGAGTCTCATCCGGAGGTGGAAAGCGTCCTTGCCGCAGGTCTTGACGAGGTACTTGTTGGCGCAGATGCGGCCAGCCTCCAGCGCCTCGGACGAGATTTGCTCAAACTCCTTGGAGATGAGGTGCACACAGAGCGGGAACTCGTCCACTCGCGCCTTCTTGCGGCCCAAGTCAAAGATGCGGATCTTCGGGTCTGCACAGAGGTGCCACAAGACACTTAAGCACCACCCAAATGGATCGTTGTTCAACTCGGGTTGTACAGCACAAAAGCTACCACAGCTATGCAACATAAGGCATTAGAAAATGGAGCTATGCTATTTTAAAGATGCTGAAGGGGACATAAAACAGGAGTACAAAAGTCAATGTAGAGATGCGTATATGGCGTAGGCCTTCTGAACTACATGCAAGTAGTTATAATACTTTTCTGTTTCATTTCTTTATAGACTTTTCCTTGCCTTTTTCTGTGCTTTTGTTTCTTCCCTTACTCATGCATTGCTCTTTGTGCCACATGGTTTACTGTCTCCTCTGTATGTTTTCGGGCACTGCGCAATAAACTCAGTTGGAAGTTAGCACTCGTGTCCTTGTCTCTTTGTTGTTGTTCTGTACTCGCGCTATAACTATCGTCATGTCATACCAACTAGCCCAAGCTGCCACACATTTAACTTTGGGACTGCAGTACTGGGAGCGTATCTCTTTATTCATTTTTTTTTTCTGGCTGGAAATAAGGCTACTAGGCTTTGGTAATAGTATGAAGTAGTTGAACTTTTTGTCACCTCATATTTGCTTCAGTGACCCTTTAATCAATACCTCATTGCCAGAAATCCTGGTAGATGTGTTCTGTCTTATTCCGAACACACACAACTGATGATTCCCGCCTCAATAGTACACAATTCACATGTCCGCTCACAGTCGATTAGCAGCATCCTCGTCAGATATCTTCGTCTATGCTCTAATGGGATACCTATATGTTCAAATTTTAATTTGAAGCAGAAGGGCAAGCCTTTAAAGCCTAGAAAACACTGGCAAGAATGAGTGTGCCGGAAAAAATGAACTACAAGTTTAATAAACGGCCTATCATCAATATAGTTCTGGAGTTGTTGAAGTTGTGCCCATGTCAGCGTTTGATACACAAGCATTTGAATAATCGTAATCGGCCCACAATAGTTTACACTCCATTCATTGGCTCGTTTTCTCCTTTCATCAATGCTTCATCTCAGCCACTGACCTGTTAGCCCAATTTGCATGACCACTAGTGAATTTTCTTACACCAGTTACAAACATGTTTCAGATTCCCAAGATGCGTTTACTCTTTTGATGTGCAATCGAAGTTGCTCTTTTGATGTGCAATCGAAGTTGATTTCCATTTGTATCAGCCCATCAAGAAATTAGTTTCAAATTCGCAAGATACGCTTACTCTGTTGATGTGCAATCGAAGTTCATTTCGATTTATGTCAGCTGATAAAGAAATTTAGCAGTCACATCACCGGTGAACTTCCTGCTTCAACGTGGGTTGTAGACATTTCGTTTGGCAACTGCTCAAACGAGGCAACCCGTTTAACTACTTCACTATCAGCTACGGTCACAGAATTTATACTTGATACGGGGCTTCCAGCTGCCCACATCACTGCGCACGCCACAAAAATTAGAAGTCGGGAACAGGGGCGCTGCCTCACGTGGTTGCAGTTTAACAGAAAAGTGGCACCTTTCGGCCAAACTCCAGACAATCTGAGGTTTCTCGGGAGTAAAACATATCTGTGACTACGATTCCACGCATGCAAGCAAGCACCATGCCGAACTGGTGTTCTAGTTCACCAAGCGTCAGACCGCGCCGAAAGACAACGCGCCTCACGACCTGCTAACCAAGTCTATCTGCAAGAAATCCGTAGGCGCAATGCTGCCACCGGCAACCAATGCGCGAGGAAAAACCACATTTCATTGACAGCTAAGCCTCGTGCCGGAATACTCACCGGGTACACCACGACAGAACCGCGACTTGGGGTAAGGCTTGTTCTTGCAGTAGCGGTAACTGCAAAGCGAATGCAAATGAATACGTCACACAAAGTCGGCGATATTCTCACTTGCGGTGTTCGACATTGGACGAACAAGCGAAATTCCTCGACACGGCACGACATAGAATGCTACGTACCATCTCGCGGGTCGGCGACCCATCTTGCTGGCTCAAGTGCCTGAAAACGAGGGACAAAGACGAAAAATTCACTAAATCACATTTAACGTTATATTAATGAAAGATGGTGATTCATTTTAAGCTATTCCGCGAATAAAATCGGCGATTAAACAAGCCGATTAAGCTTGATTTTACACACACCCAACGACCGCACGAGCAGCACACTCACCGAGCAAGAGGCGAAAAGAAGGATGAATGGATGAATTGATATGGCTGTACGTACACGAGGAAGAAGGAAAGATGCTGTACCCTTTAGAATGGGCGGCGGCTAACGCCACCTACCCGGAATACTTAGTGAACCAAAAACTAATTTTATCTTTTTTTTAAATTGCGAAGTTGAGGGCTGGTATTTTGCAGTGAAGGGTTTATTTTCACTCGTGCCTTGACTTTAGCCACCAATCAGATAACCTCCTTCTAGTTAATTGTACCCGCTTAAAGTCTATTTTGCCCTCCCTGTCTCTAAACTCCAGTGCTTTGAAAAACATTGCGCCATCATCCTGAGTGAAGCCCATTACAGAACATTATCAAGTGTTCGCAGTTTCCTCCTCCTCTCCAGATGCACTGCATACCTTGTCTACCCCTTCGTATTCGGCCCAATATGTCTTGGTTCGCAATACTCCCGTCCTGGCCTCAAATAGTAGAAAACTATACCCTATTATTATCATAGATCCTTTCCTTGGCAAGTTCCTGCTTAAAAGTTCGATAGATCTCTACTGCGGACTTCTTAATCATGCCAATTCTCCAGATATCGGTCTCCGTTTCCTTCACCTTCTTCTTAACCGATAGTTCTTTATGGTGTGGCCCCATGCTGTTTTCTAAGTATTTACCAGTCAATTTTCTGGTTCGCTTCCTCCATTTTGTATCGACATTCTTCATGTACAAGTAGCTGAAAACCTTCCTAGCCCAACGCTCCTCCCCCATTTCTCTCAATCGCTTCTCAAATTTTATCTTGCTGCTAGCTTCCTTGTCCTCAAATGATGTCCATCCCATAACACCTTGTACTTTATGATTTGGTGTATTCCCGTGAGCTCCTAAGGCGAGCCTACTTATTCCACGTTGCTTAATTTCTAATCTTGCTTGAACTTCTGATGTCATGTACAAGACCGCATTGCCGAACGTCGACCGCAGGAACCATGACCCCTTTCCATATTCCTCTCATAATATCATACCTATTTTAATTCCACAGTGCTCCCTTGATATCCAAAAATGCTAGCCACATGGGCCTGTGTTTCTTTTCTGCTATTTCGATGCACTGCGTCAGTGAGAACAGATTGTCTTCCAACCTCCTGTGTTTCCGAAACCCATTCTGCAGTACACCCAGAAGCCCCTCATCCTCTATCCATGCCTGCAGTTATTTCTTTATAATCTGCATCGCCAGCCTGTAGACCACTGATGTCACTGTTATAGGACGATAGTTGCTTATGCACGGAGGAAGGAAAGGTGTTTATATGCCAGCTTTGTCCTCCTTTCTTTTAGAGATCATGCTCATCCTTCTAAGTTTCCATCCATCGGGGACTTCAACATCGATTATTATTTTGCTCACTACGGAAATACAACGAGCCCCCTGCTTCATTTTTCGAACTTCAGATAAAAAAAAAAAAAAGCTCGGCTTGAACTCGTGCAAACTTTTAAACGGTTTCGGTTTCGTTACTTTATTCAATTTCAGCTGAGCGATGATTCTCGCGCGTAAAAGCATGCCCGCCACAATTAGAGAACTGTAACGAAATTATAGACGCAATCAGACTCGTACAAATAAAAAGGCCTGTGCTGAAGCAGCCAACATTTCTAGAACGTTTGAAGCAGTAACGCCTCACACTTTGGAAGTGTGGGGCGTTACCACTGGACTAGCTAGACCAGCTGGACTTGTCAGTGGAACAGCAGCGTGCAGCTTCATATCGTGGATAATTTGTTGATTGTCTTTTATCTGGCACATTGTTGTTAATTTGCTTACTGGTGACCGTATCAGCATATGCACAAAGAGGTTTTTCTATGTTGACTCCCGACAAATCATCTCAACTTTTATCGTTCCTACTTTGAAGAACTTCAGCGAGAAACATATATTTCTGAGGAATACACAGCCAATAAACAATAGGTTCAGCTAATGGTTACTGAAACAAGTAGTTTTGACGCAAGAAAAAACACCAGTCACAGCAGATCAGAGACACATGTTTTGAACAATTGCTCCTCCGCGATAAAGCAAAACTATTTTTTTTTCGGTGATTTCACTCGCGTCGTACCTCTGGCTCACTCGACAAAATTGACCGGGTTCCCGTTAACCAAGAATGATTATTCATCTTTGCACTAACCGTAGACCAAACACAAATATGTTCTTTTTTTCTTTTTCTAACCAGGACACCTAGCGCAAATTCAGACTGGCTCAAGAGCTCGTCGAATCATTCATCTTCCTGTTAAAACAGATCGATACAAAGAGAGCATAAGTGGCAATGAAGACCGTACGGGAAGGTCAGCAAAAGCCGACGATTGATTAGAGACACGACGTCCAGCAGCGCAACGAAACAGCGCCCCGCACTACCGCAAGAGCGGCGAGTGCATTGATTTTTGTTGATTCTAGAGGTTAGCGTCTGTAGCCGCAAAGAGCGCTGCAGTCGCTAGAGTCGTGCTCTCCACTCGCCGTGTGTGGGCCCGTGGGGTGATGTAAGAAGCGATCGCGGGGAGGTGTTTGCGAAATCTCTTCGTTGTGCGATTCTCATCCATCGCGATGAGCTCGGGACCGGAGGCGTAATCTAGCGCCACGCGTTATCGGCGAGATTATTATCTTCCGTGTACTCGTTAGTCGACGTTCAGCCGAGGGAAACAATCATGCGCTCGCAAAGCCACTGACGGGACGAAGTGAAAACGCCGCGTCTCTACACGCTCTCTTCGACAATGAGCGGTGAGATCGTTTTGCCGTCTTTACTTTGTTCTCTCTACAAACGCAGCCTGGTGTCTCTAGTAACCCGATTCCGCATGGACGCCCTGCACGATAGATATCCGAGTTGCAGCGTTCGCGAAATGCGCAGCTAGTAGTATCGTTCGTCTCTGCCCGTACATGTGTTACAATTCCCGTCTCAGTACAACCTTTGGGATCGCCGTGTTGTGTCTGCGGAGGGGCAGACTTTGCACGGTGTTTCTTCGCCGCTACGCGGTCTCTGTATTCTTCCAAGCTGCAGTCTTTGTTTCACGAGTGACATACACGCAAACAACAAAAAGAAAAAAAAAACGCGTAAGCTTGGTTTCGCTTCGCTCGTTTCTCTTTAGAGCGGATGTATGCTTGTCAAGCGACAGCTTTCAGTTTTACGACCCGCCAAGTCCCTTTGTATTTTATTTTCCCCGCACTGCTCTGACGTTTTTGGCACATCCGTGAGTTCTGTACCTCCTTTTTTTTTTTTTTTTGTTCCAGAGGATACGAGTCCTTCGGATCGTCAGATCCTGCTCTCCCGCCTGCTGGACGCCGTTAAACAGGTGACCCGACCGAGCGGGGAATTCCCCGCACCATTCATTCTCTATTAACCAAGTTCGTTGACTCTTACGTGGAGTATAACCGTTATGCATTGTCAATGTGTGCGAGATCTTCACTGTAAAGTATATAGTGTGTGATGTGCTGCATATGCATGCGTAATTACGGCGAGCTTTCCGAACACGTGCTTTGATCGCTCTCAGCACTTTACCCCAGCGATCGAATGACGCACTTACAACACAACCTAATCGTTTTGTGCGGCGCAGTGCCAGATCCGCTTCGGGGGACGCAAGGAACTCGCCACGGAGAGCGATAGCAGGTGCGTTTCGTCATTAGGTCCTGTCACCTTTCACTGTTCCAACGTTGTGCCCTTGTAGTTTTGTTTCTTTTCGTCGGCATCTCGTTGCTACGCTCAGTCATCATCTGGCATGCTTGCAAGCCTGTACTTGATAACCTTTCGTTTTGTTTTTTAACTAGCCAATAAACAGCTGCATGCCTTCGCCGCCGAGTGAGGTTTGCGGCGCGATAGGTCGTTCGCAGCCCGGTTTCGTTTACCGATGTTTTTGTTTTGGTCCCGTCACAGGGTTGTCAACCTGTGCACGCAGTTCGAGGCCGTCCTGCAGCATGGAATGAAAAAATCCAAAGGACTCAGCTCAATCAGGTGACATTGACTTTTTGTTAAGTAATTTGGCCATGTTCTTGTTGCTAAGTCTTGTCAAACCTCTGTCGACTATTGAAACCATGAGTATGTATAGCGAGCTCTAGTGACAACATAATGTTATACATAATTTCGTCCATGTTGTTGTTGCTAAGTGCTATCAAATTTCTGTCCCTTTTTGATGAAACTGTGAGTACGTGAATGCCTGTGGAAACCATTTGTACATTAACAACACGGAGGCACTTTTCTGGGGATTGCAGTCTTGCCTAGCCATCTCCTATAGATTCAGCCTTGTTTTTAATCACCGAGCTTTCATTTTGGCTAAAATCAATTTTGTCAGCGTTGAATTGGCAGCCCGTGTGACATGACATATTCTATTGTCATCAGCTGTTCCACTCGGTTATCAGGTATTGTGAACGATTGGACGCATCACGATATGCTCTTTTATGAACTTTTTCAGATGACCTATTCCCAGATAATTCTGGCAGTAGCGAGTTACACCATGTGCCCTGGCCTTCTCTTACATAGCTGCTTTCGTCTCATTTGATTGGCTATACCAAGTCAATTTGTAATGACTGATTGTCTTTTCATTTTACTTCATTAAATGAAATACACTGCGTGTGGTAAGCTTGTATGCTGTTTGTATCACCAGTAATCGTCTGGAAGAGTCTAGTAGCATATCTGTTTTGTGTGTCAAAATATTTCGTTTCATAAAATATTGCACGACACAGTTCATACTTAAGATCCTGCAAAGCAGTCTTTCTTTTATTTTATTTTCCAGGTCACTTCACTTGTCAGTCAGTTGTACATCGTGCGGAGCGTTGTTTCTATGGCATGCTTTTACATTGATAAAATGATGCAGTGTGGCTTGTATTTGAGTTTTTCAGGCCAGCATGTTTTGCTCAATATTAAAGTGACAACTAAGCTTGGCACGTGTGTTGGAACATTTAGACATTTAAATGCTCTTTTCATTCTCCTTACAAAAACTTGTGACACGTTTCTCCAAAACTTTCAGACAAGTCTCCGAGATTGTCAAGGGCTTGAATCTCTGGAACAGCGACTCCGACTATGGTAAGAGTGCTTTCTTGTTTGATTGCTTTCCCATGTAAAGCTTGCTGTCATAATAGCCTAGCAGCACTGACAAGAATGTGAGCTCCATTCTCACCTGTGGTGGCCTCACTTTAAAGGGAGCGCTATGCAAAAACTGTTGACTGTGTTGACTATTAATTCGCAGTCCCCAGCCGTTGTGTGCCTTGCGGTTTTATTTTAGTTCAGACATACCAAGCCACAGAATTGATGTTCTTGAATCAAGAAGAAATATAAATTGAATTTTTTTTTCCTGTCAATATCATCAAATAGTTGGTTGAGGTTTTATGGTCTTAAAGCAGCCAAGGTTATGCTGGGGCAGCCACAAGACGTTAAGTGTTGAGTAGTTGAGGTTACAGAATACCAGAGTTTACTTAAAAAGTTGGTCGCGTTCAGAAAGGTGGCAATGCTATGGAACAAGTGGGTGATCTTTTGTGATTAGACTGGGATGCAGGAGTGTGTATAACTTGCCAAAAATGTATTCGTCTTTGTGTTTGATTATAAGGGCATGTGGTTAGGATATGTATGACTGTTGATGGTTCCTGGCATTTATAGCATGCTAAACAATTCTGCAAAGTGCTTCGTCAATTTCCCCCAGAAAAAAAAATGATTGAATTAAACATTTCTTTTGTTGACCAACATTTCCTGTGTAAGGTGTCATGCCTACCCGGTTCAGTGCTCGGTTCCATAACTGCTAAGGAGATGGCAAACTACAGTTGACTCTCAGTAAACTTAAATCTCTCAAGTTGAATTGTAGCATAAATGGTTCAACCACCTCTGGTATGATTGGTCTTGTACGCAAATTTGACATCCTGTTCATCTCTCTGTAAATGAAACACATATGTACGGGTTTTGTAATTGCGGAATAAAGCAGACGAAAAGACTAGTGATCGCGTGAACACAATAGTGATCAGTAGTCTTTTCGTCTGCTTTGTTGAGCCGTTCAAAAATCCATGCAACAGTGCCAACTCCCCCAATTATCAGTGCTGCGGGGCATATATGTTCTTGTACACTTAAAGTTCCGTTTCACAAGTCTTCCCGTGCTGCAGCAAGATGGCAAGTTGGGCCCGTTGGATTATGTTCATAATTGAAAATTTTCTTGAAGCGCACTAAAAAACAGACGGACAGAAGAGGCTCACGAGGACAGCGCTTGCTCTCACAAGTGAAGGTTTATTAGTCAGAATTGTTACATGGTCTTTCGCGCATGTGCATCAGAACAGGGTGCAACAGAAACCACTTGTACTGCATGATGAAGAATACGCGCATCTCGACACCTAGGACTTGTAAAATATAATAAGTGACACATAATATGGGCAATTTTTGTAATCCTGACACGAGTGGTTTCTGTTGCACCCTGTTCTGACGCACATGTGCGAAAGGCCATGTATCTGCTTTAAATATCTTTTCTGACTAATAAACCATCAGTTTTGAGAGCAAGCGCTGTCCTTGTCAGCCTCTTCTGTCCATCTGTTTTTTAGTGCGCTAGAACAAAATGTTCAATTATGACCTTCCTGTGTTGCTGTAGATATGGTAGTACCATGGGACAAAAACTGTAGACAGTGACTCAGCGTTGCTTCCTTTTTTTGTGTGTGTGGCGCACGTACGTCACTCGCTGTTCCCGTTTTAACTTCCAAGTGATGCACTTACAATCAACAGCCTATTATCAGCGAAGAGCACGTGTGAGTTGTCAATAATAGACGCGTGTTTTCCGGGTAACGACAAGTTGCGCCTGATGATCAAAGGTAACCAAGTGTCCGAACTGCACGTTATCTTATCAGTGCCAAGACTGGCAGCAGACAGCAAAGTCTTCCTTACTGTTAAGGCAAACAAAACCCATCATGCCACCTGTTGGTTTGGGATATCCTTGCAATAATCCTGCCTTGGCAGATAAAGCTTTTACAGAGTTGTTGGCTGTCTGTTACCTTGACAACAAGGGCAAAGCACATTGCATTGTGTCAACAAACTAATTTCTTTGCTGAGGCTTTTTGTGCTTCTGTTACTTTGTTGTTAGTGGCTTTTGCTGGTGTTTTTATTACTTTTACAGTCCTTAAATTGGAGATTTTACATTGTGAGAGCTTTTGTGAATGAATATTATTGAGAAGCAAGGTGAAGAAATAGGGCTAAGAAGATTTAATTTTATCCGGCTGCTAAAATGTCAGGAATGCGATATAACATGTTTTCATATATATACATGTATGTTAGTGAACTACACGGCTTGACATACTTTGTGTGTGTGTGTTTCAAGCAGCAACTGTCAAAAAACTTGTCATCACTCGGAGATTCCTGGTACACATGCTTGCGTTTTAATTGTGTTCAGCATAATGTCGCTGTCATTTAAAGTACTAATGCCTGTTTTTTAAATGCTGCAACATACCCTATTCTTCAATAACCTGCATAAGTCTTTCATAATTTAATGACTTCTGCGGTAGCTGTTGTTTGTGTTGTGTTTGTCAGCGTTGTAACTGCGCTTTCATCTAATTCTTTATGGCACTGAGGGAGCTTGAAAAATCAAGACCTCTATTTTGGCTTGTTAGTTTTTACCTAAAACTTACAAGTCACAGAAAATCATATGGCTGCTGTTATGAGCTACAGGAAAGCAACGGCCCGTGCATTGAACGCTCAAGAAACAAAAAAAAAAAGCAGCGCACCCGTAAATCAATATCAAGGTTAATGTTAGTGCAGTTTTCCAGCACATCCGCAGGGGCTGTGCCAGCTGTGAAAGACAGGCCGCTTACATCTATTCTCTGCGACAGAGCTGTGGGTAGGTTGATGTTGGCAGGCTCTTGCCAGCAGTTTGCGGACTTTGTCGCGATTAACTTGTAATGTTTTCGCACTTTAGGAGAGCTGCGGCCCTGCATCGTCCTGTAAGTGTCGTTTGTTGTATTGAGAAAGTTCACGAGAGGCATGGTGTGATTATTTCGACATTATTCAAACCTGTATTGCTTTATTACTGAAAGTTTGGCTAATTGTTAAGATAAAGTGTTTAGGCACAGTGCAAAAACAATGAAAATGTTTTCATGTTGTAATTGTTTCGGTGTTTTCGGCACTATAGAAAACAATCAGGGTCATCTGGTTAAAGTGAATGCAGTATGATACGAAGCATGGCAAGATAGGAAGGAATGCACTTAGTTAATTATTAACTATTGCAGAGGTTTCATGAGACTGCTTATCTTGTTGAAGTAACCTTATATCATAGATTTCAGTCGTAAAGTAGGCATGCTTACCTGCACCAAGCATTGTTTCCGACCGCAGTAGTTTTTTTTGTGCTTTTGAATGCAGCTGTTTTAGTGTCTTAAAACCTAAAAGCAGTGTGATGCCTTGGTGCATTGTTATTATTAGTGGTCTATTTACACAACTTGACCAGCTGCTTGATTATGACCAATACAAAGAAAAGCCTTTTCAGTTGCTCTCAGCTTAATATGGTCAGTGCACCCCATCATAAGCCTCGTTAATAATGTTATGCTGCCATCAAGTACAGTTGAGCCCCTTTATAAGAGGCATGCCCAGGGCAGTGATCTTTGTCTTTTATATGAGATGTCTCTTATAAGCAGAGTACTATGCATGCATTTTCCTGTCTACCCGTATTTTACTTTAGGCACACTGGGGTCTCGTATACCCATTTGTCTCTTACATCAGGGTCTCCTATAAAGGGGTTCTACTGTATAACAAGGCACTATAATAACATTACTAAGCTAGTAGGGAAGCCCCGCCGCGGTGGTCTAGTGGCTAAGGTACTCGGCTGCTGACCCGCAGGTCGCGGGTTTGATTCCCGGCTGTGGCGGCTGCATTTCCGATGGAGGCGGAAATGTTGTAGGCCCGTGTACTCAGATTTGGGTGCACGTTAAAGAACCCCAGGTGGTCAAAATTTCCGGAGCCCTCCACTACGGCGTCTCTCATAATCAAATGGTGGTTTTGGGACGTTAAACCCCACAAATAAATCAAGCTAGTAGGGAAGCCACTGAATTCAGCGAGTGCTTTGCTCATTTTATTGATATCTTTTTTTTACCTTTCGAAGAGCTTGTGGACTTTTTTTTTTTTCTAAGGAAAAGTTTTGCCTTAGTAAGATTTCTTTAGGTGACCTTGCTTGACATGTCGAAACATTCAGAACTTTAGAAATCCTGAGGCTCTCGTCGTCACCATCTGGTTTTTCTTTTTTTCAATCTAGAATTTGTTGCCACAATTCAGTAAATATACCTTAAAAGGTTTCTTTAAATGGCTGATACTGCTGTGCTTAAGCTTAATAATAAGTCAGCAGAACTATGATCTGCGTATGTTCTATTATTTTGCAGAGACACAATGCCCAGTCATTTCTATTACAAATTGCCTGCTTATGCCACAGTTTATTGAGGGACGTAGTATTTCAACAACTGACCACCGTGCTTTTCTGTGCAGCTCTCTCAAAGCAACCTTCATTAGAGCAGAGAGAAGTACCGACAAACAAGGTCAGATAATAGCCAAGAATGTGGGACAGTGACGGGAACAATTGTCTGCGATTCGGAGAAGTCTTAACGCTTGACCTTGGAAGTCAAGGGCTCAAACAGGGGTGTGACGTGCAGGGCAGCTATATTGGCATAGAGTTAATGCTTACAAGGCGAAAGTGGACTCATGTCGCGAGTGCGCTGATAACACGGCTTTGGAAGCACCGCACTCGTGACATCGATGCACTGATAAGCAGAGTCTAAAACAATGGAGATGTGCTGTCGAGTTGCGACGGTTTACGAGGTTGCCGAGCGGCGCATGCTTTTGTTGCGTCCTAATGCGTGCCTTCTGCGAACGTCGCTTTTTTTTTGTTATCGTTTCAACGTATGACGATGCAGCACTCGCGTGGCCCCTGTAACATTGCAATGTGTTGCGGAGGAGCTATCAGTAACGGAGGTATGAGTAGTTTAGCGCTAATAAAATGTAAATGGTGTTTTTGGTTTTTGTCGGTAGGCTTTTTTGTCGCACACATTTTGCCATTATTGGAGAAAAATTGCGATGTCAGACAGTGCCTTACAACCGTACTTGCGCTGCGTCTATCAGGTCAAACAGCTGCAGAGCTTTTATTAAGCAAAATGTTACATCCACGTCGTCCTAACGAGACAACCCTGCACAGCCATGATGTCAGTGTGCGTATCGCTGATCTCGACTTGATACGAGCAATATATCTATTTACTTCTTTATTTTCGTAATGTCAAACAAAACAAATAATGGTCCAAATTTGATGCAAAAGCCTTATACATAATAATTCCTAATAATTTAAAGCAATGTATGCATCTATAAATACACAATAACATCGTTGCAGGAGTTACGAATGGCACACTTTTATGGCAATACCCAATGCACCGGGCTATCCGCATTGTTGCCAGCGCACATTTTTGGGCTGCCTTCTATTGTTATGACTGACCGTTCTATTCTGGATCACGTTCTTAAATGACATCACTGCACAAGGGATTATTCAGTCATTCAGTGATATGAATCACATGTTCCTGCAGATAGCAGAACACAATGGCTTTCTGTAATTGTGAGCCATGGAACATCGGTATAGATTTCTTTTGTTTTGCTTACTTGCCTCAGGTTAGCTTTCGCCTACAGCGCCGTAGCGTCAATCTGTTATCAGAGGCGTTGAAATCGTGCCTCTGTGCCCTATGGGCAAATCCAATAATGAATTGCTGGCAAAAAAAAAAAAAAAACGGGGATATTTTTGTTCAATTTTGCTGATGTATCATTTATTATTTTACAGCTTGTAAAAGTTGGCAATAAGCACCGCAATGCTATGTTATTCAACACAGAATATCGATTACTTAGGAGAGACGGTTCAGCTGTATTTGCAGGCGTAGGCCAAGTGCGGGTCAGTCAGTTGCAGTTAAAGATTACTGATTAAGATAATTAATTATAAAGCAAAACAAAAAACGTGCATCATATTTCTCACAGTCCGACATATCGGCTCGAGAAAATGGTCTGATGGTGTTCATGGGAACCTAACAGGTAATCAGTGTAGCAGATGTGATAGCTGTGTAGCTATCAGTTTGCATTTTTTTCTTTGGCTTATTATTCTTGAAATGTGGTATGCTTAAACACCTTTACATACCATCTTTCTTGGTGGATGATGTTTGGGGGTGTTTATTTATGCATGTTTTCTCTAAACACAATTTTAAGTCTATGCTTTAAGTTCCTTTTATTTTCGTGTGTTCCGATCTCCTTCACACACAAAAAGAAATGCAATGGATGAGTATTTAATTTGTATCACATTATTAGATAAAAATACAGTACAAGCGAGGTGCGAGATGAAATATCTGGTGTTTGCTGTCTTTTTAATCATAATTCTTTGGTGCAGTTCAAGTTTTTCTAATGCATTGCCTACTTTTGCTATTCAGACCCAAACCTGCAGTGGTGTGACTCGGTGACTACATGTGGTGTTCGCGACTAATTGGGTGCCGCTGAACACATAAGACTCGGTGAATCGAGATTCATGGGGAGTCAGTGACTTGGTAGTCAGGCCTTATTGGGTGTTGATGACCATATATGACTCAGTGAACTCGTAATCTGGGACTATGTAGGGTGTCGGTGACCACATATGACTTGGCGAATCAAGATTCAGTGACTGTCAGTTGGTGACCTGAAAGTCAAGAGTCAGTGACTAATTGGGTGTCAAAGACCATATATGACTCTGCGAATCGGTAGTCTCTGACTACATGGGGTGTTTGTGATTACTTGGGTGTCACTAACCACATATGACTCAGTGAATCAAAATTCAGTGACTAATAGGTAGTTGATGACTTAAAAGTTGGGAGTCAGTGACTAATTGAGTGTCGATGACCACATATGAATCGGTGAATTGAGATTCAGTGACTGCGCGTCCTAATTTTGGCCGCTGTCCCGCTGCAGTGTTCTGGCACTATGTGCGGACTCACCTGACCAAGCACGAGCTAGAGCGGTACCTGGTGCTGCGGCACGTCAACACCGACGAGGGCCGCGGGCGGGCCTGGCTGCGGTCGGCGCTAAACGAGCATGCTCTCGAGCGGTACATGCACATGCTCGTCGGTGATCCCGCTCACATCAGGTGCGCCCTTGTTCTCTGTAGCACATGGGTCGTTTGAATGTAGCCTCGTTAATGCCGGTAATAGAGGGACATGCAATAGAAAAACAACTTCTTTCACATTAGCAAAATTTTTTTTTCATAATACCAAGAGGACTACGTTTGCATTCACAAGGTAATTGGTAAGCCAGAAATTGTGTGGAAATGAAATGGAGCTGGCGAGGTTGCCCTGAGATTTCTTTGCCAACTCGCCGCGATATATAGATAAATTTCGGTGGCACCTACTAGAGCATATATATCTATTTTTAAAAATTCATGACATTGTGTTGTAAAAAACTCGCTCACATAGTATGGTAGCCAGTGGTAAAACCGGCTCACACTCAGATGTGACTATGTCGATGTGGAAAGCTCTGGGGAATGGTTTTTTCAGCCATCATGGCTGAAATACGAAACAAACAACATTAAACTTTTGCAGTGTCATACTGCATTTACTAGCTGTAGCTTTTGTACAATATAAAAAGAAACACAATTCTTTTTTCTCTGCTAGTTATTAATCACGGTGAAATTGATGTCAGCAGAGTTTTCAAATTTATGTTATCAGTCAAAAATGATTTAGTGTTGTGGTGTACACGTATCCCGAAGAAGTACGGCCACCAGCGTGGGTCCGGTCTTAGCGAGCCGCAGGGCACGCGTTAACCGTCGCCGTGGCGAGAACACGATACTGCTCAAAGTCGCAACATTTTTTTGTGGCAACACCAAACGCAGTACAGCCCGTTGCAAAAGGCGCGGCGGGAAAGCAAATAGGCTTATCCACGCCACGGGCACAAAGTACTACACAGGGTGCCACGAGCACGTCTCCGCGGTAAAGGTGATCCACGGAGACACCGGGACCAAGGCCCGGTTGCTCGAGCGAGGGCAAAGGCGCTCGCGTTGGCTTCGAAGGGAGACGGGTTGGCGTAGCTAGGCCACGCACTAGGACACCGTACCACCCCTCGGCCGTGCGTACGCAGTGGGGCAACAAAAGGTGAGCGTTCGCTTCAGGCGTGAGGTGCCGTCAGCGAAGTCCGACGAGCCCCCGAGCGACGGGAGTCGACGGACGGAAAAGATTGCGTGGCTTACCGTTTGCTGTCCCGGAGAGTATCTCTCGGCTCCACGCGCAGCGCCACAGTCAACATCCGCTACCGGGTGAGGGAGTTAAACGTCACTCCGCTCTCTCAGCGTGGCAGACAGCAAAGGAGGGCAGACATGTCGGGACATGAGAACGGAAGAAAAGGCGGCAAAGCCTGCGCAAAGGCAGCGGGCTAGCCTCAATTCCCACAGTGTTTTACTGAAGTGTCCCTTTAAGTGTTGTGTACTAATTAACAAAACGTTTTGTACCCATTGCTCAAGATATTCGTGAAAGTGGCTGTGTATCTCAGCAGAAAAATAAGTACTCTGATTTTAATATACCTTGTTGTTGCGAACCATCAGGCTGAGTGGCTAGCGCCCAAGCTGTGCGCAGCAGTAGTGGTGAATTTGGAATGTGTTTTTGCTGAGGGTTCAATTATAGATTGATTGATTGATTCATTTGTTCATTGAGGGATTGATTGATTCAATCATCTATTCGTTGATACAGAAGGATGTCCCAGAGTTGAGAAAACTATTAGTAAGTGAGAGCATAGGGTTTGTTAATACATTGTTAGTATAAAAGCAACAGCTGCAGAACTAATTTATGGCATTGCAATTATTAGAAAAATTAGACATCTAGAATATATGAAGTAGAATACAAACACAGTACCGTGCACCATGTAAGGTTTGCTGTACTATTGCGCGCAGCCAGTTCTATGAGGACACTGCCTTCCTGATGGACCAGGAAAAGAGCAGCATGCTTCCCATCATGTCAGCAGGTGAGTCTGCATATTTTGGTGTAGAAGTTGTAGTGAACGAGCAGTCTACATTTGTTGCTTTCTAACGTGAACTAGCATTAATAAGACATTAAGAACTGTTTTCCAGAGATCGGTCGCATTTCTTTTGCCTTTGTAGCGTTTGCATTTGTTACCGCACATAGTTGTTGGTGGGTATGTAGCGGTGCTGTAAGTGGTTCCTCTTTCTGTTTTTGGAAGCGAAGCTTCTTAGGCTCGCACGATGTCTGTTGACGGCGTCGTTGTAGTAGCTTCCTGTCAAGCCGAAACACAGGTCTTGTATATGCCCTACATATAGCGTTTATATTATGCATATGGTTCAAAGATAGGCAGTGCTATGTCGGTACGTCTGTCTGTGCATCTGTCCGTCTGTCCGTATTTCCGTCACTTTTTACATTCTTGAGTGTGTTCGGCGAATGCCTGTGCCTATTGAGATGCGGTCGGTTCGAATCGAACGCGATGCTCGCGTCTCCCTTGCGTGATTGGACAGGCTGGGCACAGTGACGCTACACAAGCAAAGCAAGAGTGCTGTAGAGTCCTGCGTGACCGGTGTCCGTTGGCACACCCCAGCAGCCACCTGGCACCGCCATAATAATTTAATAAAAGTTTTATAAACATTTAATAATCATCCAAGGAGCTTCACATCATCATCAGCATACATTTCGTGGATTGCAGGGTAGCCAGATAATCCAAGAACTGTTTTTTTCTTGCTTCTCTTCTTCCTCTTCTGCAATCACATTCGCAGGTCTGGGATCCATCCTGTTTGCAATCAATATCGACAATCCCGACCTCAACCCTCCCGAGTCAAGTGTCACAGTGCGCGGTCCCATGCAGAGTGGACTTGCGGACACACGTCCAGTCCTGGCCAAAGGCTTGGGTAGGGCACCTTCATCGTTGCAAGCGCCGGCGTGTCAAATTTGAATAAAAAAGATATATTGCACTTTGAAAGGCATGTAGTGGACGGCAAAAGTGGAGGGAAGCGAGCAAGCCTTTCAAGGACCTACTGTGCTGACTTCACGGCAGCACTTTTGAAACGTGTTTGCACTGCCTTGGCCAGGGCTTCGAAATGCCTGCAGACAGCACGTTGGTAGAGCATTGTAGGCGATGGCAGGTCAAGGTCTATTCGAGGAGCTGTGCTAGAAGTGCTGATGTTTACCGTGGAAGTAGCCGTCAGCACATTTAGCATAGCCCCACGTAATGTACCCATGCTCTCTATGGAGCTTCTTCGACCATCTTAAGAAAGAAAAACATTGCCTTAGTGAAATTTTCAGTTCAGTGAAGTTCCCAGCTACAGGCAGAACGTAAATAGAGGCTCAACTGCATAGTGAAAAGAAGTTAACGTTCCTGTATCCTGCAATGCATTATTTTTATTCTTAATTACACTCAAACCTCACCATAATGAAGTCGCATCTGCACTGAAAATACGTCGTCATATCCAAAAATTCGCGATGAATGTATATCTGTGGCACTATACTTATGACAAAACTGTTCCTCATTACAACCGATAATTCCTTATATTAAAGTTCGAGTGTATTGCAGCATACTGTGCATAGAATATGCAGAACTGCGGGATGGGCATAAACAAACATAACCGTATGGAGAATTCCAGGCTTTAGTGGGTTCAGGGCATGAGCTGAGCTTCAACTTGGCATGTGCGTAGTCAGGTGCATAGAAGCTTGTATGGTTGTGTTCTGCACAGTTGTTGTGTAATGGACTTCTGCAGTTTCCATTGCAGCTGCTTGCCCAGATCGCTGGCATTTAAGAGTAGACAAGGTTATAATTACCATGTTTGATCATGCAGTGGAGGGCAAACGGAAGAAGAAGTGCCGCAAGCCTCGGTCCAACGTGGTCTCCTTTGACGACGAAGACGACGATGATTACACCTTGGACAGCAGGTCAGGGTCATATCATAGTTGCTGCTTCTGTGCAGCCATTTTGTTGCTCTTTGATTTTATACCTCGAATACGTGTTAACGTATCATGCCAGCATGGACTATAAGCTAATGTGTGCACTGCGCACTGCGGTGCATGTACGTTCTGCGGTTTTCGTAGAACGTACGTGCAACAACGTCTAAATGCGCAATGAAGGATCACTTAAAGTTGCACCTCACCAGAATGACCACCTTTATCGGGAGGGGTCATTTCGAATTGGCGAAATGATTTTCAAGAACCGAGAATTCACTTTGTCTAGTGCACATGGCCTATGCTGCAATAGTTTTAAACGTGGAATGAAAATGTGTTGGTAGTGGGTGCCTGCATGTATGTCCTGCAGTATCTTAGTGTACGTTTATACCAGTACAATAGGCCCTTTTCAAAATTGTAAGGTTAGCTTTCCTGCTATGCAGTTTGAACAACTGATGGTGGTTAGTCACCTACTGCCAACAGCCTGTTCAAGTGCGGATTGCTTATGCTACGACGTGGAAAATGTTTAGTCGCCTCTCTTGATATAACCACTCATAAATAGACAAGCATAAGCACGTTCAACTAGGACCGCGTCTCCGCTTGAAGCACGACAGATGCCGCCATTACTTGTTAAAATATGCTGTGCGTAAAAGCGCACTTGCAAATTATGAAAAGGGTTCATTAAACTGGAAAGCAATGATTATGTCACAAGGTGACAACTAGCTAGTGTTGCCTGGTAATGTATGTTCGCTCACAACGACATTATAAAAATGCTTGTGTACTACTATACATTTTTGCCCGACTTGCTTATTTAATTTCCACGCTACGGTGGGAGATAAGACAATGCTGCATGCTGTCGAAATGCAGGTTTCTGGGCAACCACAGCTGCTTCAGTGCACCAGCGACATGCGTCTCGTCTCCTGTGGCAACCGAGTTCCCAGCTGCAACCCTGCAGGTGAACAATGAGGTGTCGTCAACTGCGGGGGACACTGCCGATGACGGGGATGCCGCCACTGCGACGTCTGCAAAGGCTCCAGCAGACGACGCTCAAAGTGTCGAGTCCCTCGCAACTTCTGATGGGAACCTGTCTGACGAGAGAGGTTGGTGAAGGCTACATTGCTTCTAAAAAGAATACCATAAAAACGAGAATATAGGTTGACCTTTCAAATTTTCTATCTTCAAAATGGAAATTTTTAAAAATTGCAAAATATTGCGAGACACCCTTACCTTGATAAATACACAACACAACCAGTTGTACTGCCGTGACATATCTTTTTATTTGGATGGTGATCCTACATAGTTGAATGCCAGAAGGTCACGATGTGCTCGTCATTGAGACTCGTCCGAACTCAAGTGAGGTGATGCACGCTTTTCACTAGTAACGTCCCAGAAGGCATTGTCCTCTGTTCTGTTCAATGCATTGCTAATACAGCACTTGCAGAATTATTTGGGCACCACCTCTTCTAGGAGGGATTTTCACGCTGACCACACCCAGCCGTAAACGGTTGTAAGCGGTTGATGTCGTAGGCGGCCAGCGAGGGTCTTCGGGTTGTCGCCCAGCATCCACTCGCTGTACGCACGCATGCAGACTGCTCACACACGCAGTGTTTAAAGGCTTATTGAGCACTACTCCCAGTGGCTGGAGGATGGATGTTAGTCCCCCGGGGATCATCACAAGATCCGTCTAGCCATCGCACTAGGCTCCCTATACATCAGCCATGAGGTGAACTTGAAACAAGTCGAGGACCAACATGCTCGGGTCACTGAAGAAGTCCATGGAGTCGCCGATCCTACACAAGCCAAATCGATTCAAACATGAACGACTTGTTCATGAATCCTTCTTCATTTAGTAGTACTTCCTTAAAAATAATATAACGGGGCAGCTTCTTACTATTGGCTATGCACGCGAGCATCACTGTAAATCTCCTATGCTCGTCGCCTGTTGTAAAACTCCAGTCTCATCGTATGTTCTACATTTTTTTATATGTTCTAAATAGAGCTTCCCAGGAGATATGTTACTTTGAGACCTATTTCAGGTCAAATTTACTTTGTAATTGCACTGCTGTGTAATAACAATAATATTAACACCAAATTGATTTTTCGCATTGGTATTTTTCGCAATGGTCACAGAGCCCAACCCTCGCGGCAAGCTATCAGCAGCCATCCCGGTCGAGCGAGCAAAGACGTGGTCGGGATCAACCGAATCCTCGGGATCGCCAAGGCCTGAGCTTCCCGATTCCATGTCCTCATCACCAATGAGGTGACATCATTATGACTGTTAACTCATTAATAATGCCTCAGTGTTAAGTGGCTCGTTCTGAGTGAATGAAATATGCTGGAAAAGCTTGCATGAGTTTTGCCATTTGCGATAGTAGAGACCCCTAACATTAAAAATAACTCAAAGAAATATATGAGGAATTAAGTTGTAAGGTTCAAAGATTTAGAGTAAAGACTCCTAATGTATTTGCATTTAATTTCAACCTAATGCATTTTCCTAACCTCAAGCAGGAGCCAATACATTAGGCGGTAATGGTAAATGCTGAATCAACCAAAATATTGTTGAATGAAAAAAAAAAATGAATTGCTAATGTTGAATGGCTTCTTCTATTAAATTGAGCCAGTGATCTGAGAAGTCTTGATCGAGTGAAATTTATGTCCCGTAATGAGTCAGAAGCATGTGGTGAGTAGTAAAAAATGACAGACTTGCATGATTTGGAGAATCAGCTTAGTATATATTGCAATAGTAGCCCCCTAAAATTCATGCACAGACATTGTTGCCAGGCAAATGTTGGGAGGAGGTAAAGTGAAGTTTCGCCAAGTTCAAAGTGAAATAACGAAAGTTATGGTATGTTTAACACTCGCTAGTGACTCTCTGTCAGGCTGGGATTCCAGTCACAACTTATCAACCTACCAAAGCTATTGTTCAGGTGCGCTTAGCACATCCATTTTTGTTTTACTGAGTACCATTATCAATCAAGAATATTCTCATGAGGTGATCTACTTCGCAACTCTCTCAGTCTAGACAAGGTGTAGCTCCCAAAAATGGCACATGGAATGGAAGATAGTACATTGAAAACCACATGCTACTGGAAGAATAATTGCATATTTAAACTTCCAGAATAACTATACATAAACTCTGCAAGTGTTGTCTAAATCGATATTGTTAAAAGGGTGTTTAAGTGCTGTATGTCCTCGAGTGGCATCTGTTACACTGGTTAGGTCGGTGTTTCCATTATTCAACTTCAGCCATGCCAAAGAAGCGGGTACCAGCTGTCAGCCATCTTCCCTGACACCTATTCTGGACCTCTCCATTGGGGACCTCATTCCCGTCTGCCATCCCGCAGAAGATGGCGCCAGATCAGGTGCGACAGCTGGCTTTTGCAGTGACATTGCAGTGTCTTTCGCACTTTACTGTGTCGACATTCAGTGGATACCTCGCAGGTACCGTTTGTAATACGCGACCTCATTGAGATGAAGCATAACCTGTTCCTGCGGCAGTGTGTGTGTAATGCAGATGGAGTGCTAGTGAAAGACAAAGACGAGGACAGTCGTTGGTGCTCCTCTCAGACCGCTCATCTCTTTGGCTGTGCTAATTCTGTAAGAAACACCTCATGTGGTCAAAGCTAAGCACATGCCATCGAGTGGTGGATGTGCTGGTTCTCAGCCAAACTGTATCATCGCCATCAGTGATGCCTGACGGCATTTCACAGCAAAGTGCTATCCCACTGGAAGCCATCCACCATTCTTTATTGTAAGAGAACTTTTGATTCTGGACATATGTAGACCAGTTCACATGCGGTCCTCTTGCAGTTATGTTGTGGAACTTCACATGTTCAAAATTACCGTATCTGTTTGAATCTGAGCCGATAGTTTTTTTTTTTTTTTTTCAAATTTTGTTGTATCAAGTTTATGGGTCAGTTTGAATATAGAGATTTTGAAAAACGCGCTATTTCTTATTGAGAAAAGCGGTGCTTAAGTAGCGACGCCTACATGGTATTATAGCCATTAGTAGTTGAGCCAATACCTGGTGTATACACGTGAGGCCACCATTTTGATCTTTGTGGTGAGCATGGAAATGGCAAGTGTTGAGGCGAGCCGTTTGTCATTTCAAGTCGCGCTTCGAGTGGCCTGTATGTGGTGTAGCTCAATGGTGCCAAACAGGCAGTGTCATTATAGTGCCGGTTATAAAAGGAAAGCTGTCCTAGCTGCGGAGTCATCATCGAATGTTCAAGCCGGGTGGGACTTTGGAGTGGACGAAAACATTGTGTGTTGCTAGAGGGTCTGCAGCGTGGGAGGACATCCCAAGAACTTTGATTGGGCACTTTCTTTAGAAGTGCAGCATATTCGACATGCTTAATGGCTCCAAGGATTTCGCACAGTTTGAAAACAGTGACAAAGAAGTCAGCGTCGACGACGACTCGGAATGAGCGCGGCATCGGCAAGTGCGGCACCTTTATGACACAAATAACTAGAAGCAGCACCAAAAAGAAGACAAAGAAGCACACAACAGGAATAGCGGCTGTATGTTTCTCGAGTTATTTGCATCCTATTCATGTTCAATGAGTGTTTTCTCTTTGTGAACGCTATCTTCTCTGTTTTGTTTGACATACATTTGAGGTAAGTTTTTTTGTTTTTCCGGGCTTCGACTTTAGGGGGTCGGCTTAGAATCGGAGTTGGCATAAATTAGAGTAAGTATGGTATTTTGTAGTTCACTACTGATGCACAGCTCAGTTACATCCTAGTTTATGGCGTGTAAAACATTTGAATTTACTTTAATTTGAGGTAGCTCTCACATTGTAAAGCAGTCACATGACCTTTCATTTGTGTCTGATCCATTGCTTGTTCATACATACATACATACGAGTAACACGAAAGTGTCCTTGGTCCTCCTTTTCTGCCTCCTGTGCACTTATATTTTGGTGCATTGAAACCCCAGCTGGTCCAAATTTTTGGAGCCCTCCAATATGGCCTCCCGTGATTGAATCGTGGTATTGAAACATAACACTCCGACAATTATCATCTTTTTTGGCCTGCACAGAGGACTCTATTCCGAGCTACAGCGAAGATACAGAGACGGCAGCGGCTGCTCTAATGCTGGCGCAGAACGTCTCATCTCTTGCGCTCAGCGCCGTCGAGTCGCCAAGTGCTGCGCCTGCGGAAGCTGAGCTTTCCTCTGACATGGTGTCGGCGACCCCAGGTTAGCAGGCAAAGTAGCTTGCACACGGTAGTGTCGAACGTCGACACTTGTTGACTTTAGCTGTGTTCAATTGCCATCAAGAGATGGTGGCACCCCTTTCTATATATATAAGTGTGCCGCCGGATAAAGGCACTTGTGTGGCATAGGTTCAGTGTGTTTGTTGTCCTCAGTTGCACCATGTGGCAACACTACACACACTTTGTGTGTTGTTTCTTGTATTTTGTTGCCCAGCTAGGGCTTTACTAGGTCAGTTACAATGGTGTTGCGGGTTAGTGTTCAGAGACCATTGAAAGGAGAAAAAATGTTTAGGCTTGTGCAAATAGTGAATTTTAGGTTGAAAGGTAGCAGTGATTTTGGTCGAATAATTTTGAATCAAATTCGAATAGTATATGTATTGCATATTATAAAAAAAGAATGTACATATTTGGCATTACCTAACTAACCTGCACCGTATTCTTTAAAAATTCAGGGAAGGCCTGTACAGGTACCTTTTTTTTTCCCCAAAAGAAAGTGAAAACTTGGAATAGTAGCAGGATTTAACTTTTAGTACAGTATATAACTTGGTATATTAAGCTTTCAAATTTAAGCTTTCTCTGATGTGAAAGTATTATCCTCGTTTAACCTTGAAGTGGGACTTGGTGGCAGTGCAGATTTCCTCTGGATACATGTTTTCACAGTTTAGCACTTCTTTACTACAATGAAACCACCTTTACAGGGTGTTACATGCGGCCTGATATGCATGTGTTCTTTCTGTTTGAATTATTCTAAATTTTCAATAATTTAAACTCAATTTGAAGCAAACTTGAATACTGCATTATACGTTCAAATATTCAAAACATTCAAATATTTACACAAGCCTAAAAATGTTGAATCTCCGTCTCGGCCCTCCGAACGCAAATGTTCAGCGAAGCTGTAAAAAAAACCACACCACACTTGTGGACAGATTCCCTACTTGTCGTAAATCCAACAGTGTCCCAAGGCCCTTGAAGTGAGAAATTCAGTGTGAGCACAATGTGATGCCAAAACCCACGTGGCAAAGTGTTGATTTCACATTCATGTGATCAAGTCATCGTGTTGAACGTCCTGTCATGACTTATTATCACATCAGCTCACGAAGTGTCACACTATGTGATAATGTCATCGCCACGTTACAATATTACCTGGTCAGCTCCCTTGTCTAACCCACTGCTACGAGACAGTGTCGTTGTCACATGTTGGTGTCACCTGGTGATGTCTTGTGATGTCTGTTGGAAAAGCGTCACATTGTGCATCCCCCCCCCCCCCCTTTTTTTTTCACTGTGTTCAAGAACACACATGTGTCTGAAGAGACTGACGCTGCAAATAATCCCCGAACTAAATGCTAGCTGCTATGCTGTGTAGCATCAATTGTCACATTTTATGTGCTCATTGACAATCTCAAAATTTAGATTAGTTCACCCCCCCTTCTCTCACCTTTACCAATTAGTTAGCTTTAGGATGCTGGAGCCAACAATTTCAGATAATATCCACTTTGATTTCTGATGTCCCTAAAAATGCCACAGTTTTAAATTACGGAATATATTTTGGTTCACTTATATGACATGCAGGATTCTTACTCCTGGCAATATTTTTAGCATTAGGGCAGACCGACTGATAGCTTCTGCCTTCTTTATGTTGCAGAGGAGCTCAAGCAAGCTCTGCTTGTGATGACTCAGCAAATCAAGGATGTTGAACAGGAGAACATGTGAGCACTACATTTTAAACTTCCTTAGTTACTTATTGATTGATTGATTAAATGAATTTGTCATTCACTAATTGGCAAGTCGGAATAGAGAAAATATAGTATGACAATTTGCCGAAATGGTTACGCCCTAGTTATTTTACCCCTGAAAAGGAATTCAGAAATGCTAAATGAAGAAGGTGCGAAATTTTATGAACAGAAAAATATGAGAATAAAGCAGTTGGCTTTTCGGTGCCTCAGTTGCAGTTGTAAGCAAAAATATGGATGCTGGCAGACTTTTTCTCTTTTTGCAATCTCAGCATGTCAGCTTGAGTCTATTGTAACAGCCTGTATACTATTTACATTTGCCATTTAAATGGGGCATTTTGTCCCATGCCCACATTTAGAGTGGGGCTAGAACAACTCTAAACCTTTTTGAATTCCGTTCGGCCTCAAGAAACTGGTTTGCACATTCCCTTGGAAATAAGGGAGGCTCAAGTATTACAACTGTTCTCAATTTGTTAGCAGTGTAAAAATTTAGGGTAATGTGCTAATTTTTCTGAAAAAAGGTATTGTTGGAGCAAAAATGGTTATTATTCATGTCATACTAAAAAAGTTCTGCAGCTTCCACTAGTAGCACAAGGCTGGAACCATCAGTGGAGCTAGTGTCTAGAGTAGCTTAGTTTCGCTGGTAATGTAAAGCTCTTGCTAGAGATGCTCAGTTTTGGCTAGTAGTACTCAGTATGGCTAGACTTGTCTGGACATGTCACTTGACCACGTCTTGCATGATGTCACAGGAGAAAGCTAGTCATATGACTGGCTTTAAAAAGTTTTTAGTGGGAACATATCACTAGACTAACTATTAGACGATGTTGCGTGATTTTTAGTTACACGAGCAGTTAACATGATAGTTACGTGACTTGGTCACGTGAATTGGTTACTCAATTTTTACTTGCAGAACTATTGTGTGATACGTAATTTCAGTTACTTGGCTAGTTGGGCAACGTTGCGAGATTTCAGTCTAGCGACTAGGTGTAACATGATGTTATGCCATTTTTAGTCATGCAACCGACTCGCCCGTCATAGTTTTGTAATGGATGCTCGACAAATATGCACACGTGCTGTAGAAGTAAAGCAGAACTTGAAAAAGAAGACGAAGGGGGTGCTCACAAAGTCATGATGACAATTCCTGTTTGCACTGTCTGGAGCAATGAAAACCTTATAGGAGCCATACAACACTTTCTCAAGTATCCATGGAATGGATTTACTAAAAGAGCTTATTGCTTCACTGCCGAATTCACTGCCGCAATTTTTTAAAAAATCCGCCCAGTACGAGTGGACTTATGAAGATATGCTGCACGCTGCACTTGCATTCTCTTGTCCCAATGAAAGCACCGAAAGCTTAGCAAAGTGGGATGGCATGAGAGAAGAAACTACATCATGCCCGCGCCACCTTGAGCACTTCTTTTTTCTTTGAATGCGCGGCTTTTCAATGCGATCACAAGCGCGCTCGTGGACAAGTTGCGGCCTCTCACGGCGATCCCTGTAACGACCAAGCACACCATGTTCAAATCAGCCAATGGCTGATACAGTGGCTGTGGCGAGTGGTTTTTGAGCTTTTTCGGTCATTTGTTGAAAGAAGAGAAAGCCATTGTCAGCTGCCTTTGGGAATTTATTGTAAGTTCGAGGCAGAATGCTTGACCCTCGTGCTGTCGTGTAATATTTGACCCTCGTGCTGTCGGGAATCTTGACTACCAGCTGACAGCATTTCCTGACCAAGCTCGAAGTGTGTGGTAGGGCCCCTTTAAATGTGTATGTAGAGCCTGGCCTTTAATGTTCGTTGAACTTGCTTTTGCGCAGTACCCTGCGGAGAATGGTGGATCAGGAGAGCGAAGTAAGTGCCAAACTGCGGGCCGACGCCCGTGAGGCTGAGAAGCAGACCAACGAGCGGCTCGACAAACAGGAATCCCGGATACAGACACTCACCAGGTAGCGTATCAGTGGGAAGCCTTCTAGAGCGATGTCTTTGCTCCTCCTCGTACAAACCCAGAAAACAACTTTGTGCATGCATTTCACCTTGAAGCTCGTCCGATGTCAGTTCTCTCCTCCTTCTTACACGTATGTCGTCACAGCAATAAACATGTGCAGTTTCTAGTTGTTATCTGCTCCCATCCCGCGCTCTATCGGTTCGCGAGAACCACACAAATTAAGGCATCTACTCCGGTGGCGTGACTTTTTTCTGCTTTTCTCTCGCTCACCAGCTGGGTAAAAAATTGTTTTTTTCTTCTCGTTGATCTCGCCAACTCTTCTTTCATTGAGGAAAAGAGTACGACCAATGAAGGCTCGGTCACACAATCATTGAATGCTGCAGTATAGAATCACATATCCTTAGTCCTAGGCACATACGCCATTTTTCTGCGCTATGAAATACAGTCATATGAGTTTCTAAAGTTCATGAGACCTCTTAAAAACACGTAATTTATTTGTAAAGGTCACATGTCGTAGTGCTCGCACTGGAGCTGGACTTGCAGAATCAATTAGCTGTAAAGGCATTCATTAACGAAGCATTGAAAAGAACGAAGTTTGGTCTCGCATCTTTTTGCCGTGCGTTTTGCTTTGAGTCTCTTGAATATGACCCAGTTCAGGTTGCAGCAACTTATGCGTATGACAATTGAGCAGCGTGCGTAAATCTGGGGTTTTCGCGGTGGTCGAAAGGCCAAATGTGATTGTCTGTTTGTTGCAGGGAAAACCAACTGCTAAAGCACCAGCTCAAGAAGTACATAGCGGCTGTGCAGATGCTGAAGCGGGACGGCCTGGCTGCTCACGAAGGTAGGCATTAGCCCACAATACTGCCGAGGCTGGAATTGAGATCTCAGATTTGATTGAGATCTCAGTTCATTATAGAAAGCCAGTCAACGTTCACCTAGAACTTGCCTTTGGACAATACAATAGCTTTTATGAGTGCTTGGTCTAGTTTTTTTGTTTGTGTATTTGAGCTGAGGATGCATTGAGGAAATTTTGTGTTATGGCTAGTGCTTACTTTTTGCTGCTTGTCACACAATTTAACTCGGGGCTATGATTGATTGTCTGCATCCAAGGGTATCCGTTTACTATTTGCGAGCCATATGCGGGTTCCTCATGATTTTGATGCGTCAAGTTATTAAAACATCAAAAGCACATGCAATAGTCGGTGTCTGGTCTTGCTGCCCCAGAGCTGCGCAAAATGGTGGGAGATGTCGAGCCAGCCATTCCTGACGCCAAGCCACACATCGACCACCAGTTTGAAGCCAGCGAGTATGAAAAGAAGCTGGTTCAGGTACGGAACACTGTTGACTGCACCAACCGCAGTTGTCTATGTATGCAATTGCTTACCACAAATGGCTTGAAGCTGCATTGAGGCAGCACTACTTTGAAGTTGAATATTGCTGTTTTCTTTCGTTTTGTATAATTTGAATTCCCCAATTTAGATTCCTGCAATAATGTTAGGCATATAAATTTTATGCTGAAGGGTGGCCAATTTCAACGCATTTATTTTTTGAATGAGTCATGAATACACCTGCAGATATTTATTCTTTGCCGTGATTTTTTAGATTCACTTAAAAATTCACTTAAGAGACATGTTATGTGGATGTGATGATGAGAATCAATAGATCTAAATGAACAGTAACTTTACAGGAATAGCCAAACTGGGGGGCTCCGCTATCTAAAAATTATGATGACGCACTTGACCTCGGTTACTTTTCTTGCTTTTTTATGATCGTAGCAGAATGAAAACTGCAGAACATTGCAGTTGCTTTGCCACTTGTTGCCAAAGGCTGCTTGTTGTCACAATTGCCCTTTGTCGTCACCACCATCTTCATCATGCAGAACTGGCTATGTTCTTGATTATCACCATCCAGCCAGCCATTGTTATTTTAGCCGATATATAGTGAGTAACTGCTGAAGCATCATCAAATCATGTCACGATTACATGCTTCACACTCAGAGGTCTTCATCTTATATTTGTGTCCATGTTATGTCTGCATGCACAATGAGTAAATATAATGTAGTTGTCTCGTTGAACTGCTCGATTTCCATCACTGTGCAACATCTGTTGAAAAAAAAGATGGATGCCATCCGGGCATTATCTACAGGTGGCCGAGATGCATGGAGAGCTGATGGAGTTCAACGAGCGGCTCCATCGTCTGCTGCTCTTCCGCGAATGCACTATCCGCAGGCTACGCGAGGAGCTCACCGACCTGCGCGGACCGGTAAGAGCAACTTTGTGGTTTTCCTGTTGCAACGGTTCAACTAAGGTTGTAAGCCGCCCCAGATTTAACACATTTGGGATTTCTGAGTGTATTGCTTTAATATTCAAACTGACAAGTGTTTTTTATGTCTGCCATTGTATTGTCATGAAGGTGTTGCCACATTTCTTCCTGAAGTTTTGTTATCGCCTCGTTACACTCTAAGTAATGTTCAGCGCAAACCGCGCCTGCAGTGTTCGAGAAGCTTCGGGACTGTAATGGATCGTTTTGTCAAGATTAAGCGCGCAACGCGAACATTACAGATTATTCTGGAACTTACGTGGCCACCAGCAATAACATTGGAATATTCGACCGCAAATGTATAAAAATGCCGACGCCTTTCGCCGCTTGTCAGTTAATTGACGGACGACGCTCAGTTTGCCGCTCTCAGTGTGAGTGTATCACTGTGATGTGACTTTTCGTTAACTCGCCACAAGTTCGGCCTAATAAACAGTTTGATCTTTCAAATTAAGCCTGCTCCCTTAGTCGATGCCGTGACCCTGTAAAAGTATAGTCGCTTGTTTTTGTCAGAGTTCGAGTTCCATTGTTAGGCAATGAAGATAAAATTATTTATAAATTTTTTGTGCGGCTCCTGGCATTGACTGGCATTTTTGCTTGTTGCCACTGCTCTACCCTGTCAACGTTCAACAACTTTGCCGCATTTTTTGTAAAATCTTGAACAATTTTATTGCAGCTGCCCGATGAAAACCAGACCTCGGATGACGACCTGAGCGTAACGTCAGACTATGATGCGTGAGTCATGTTCGCTGTCTTTGTTGTCTTTTTTTAATTTAATCACATTGTCTTAAACCGGAGTGATGAGCTGGTCATCTTCGGTTTTCGCATGCAGGTCGTCGCAGAGTGCATCTCTGAGGCCGCTCATCAACTTGTGGATACCCTCGGCATTCCTCGCTGGGCACCAATCACATGCATTCCATGTCTACCAGGCAAGTACACTGAAGAGAACCTCGAGTTTTTTGCGACAAGGACGTGGTAGTTTAGCTCGCTCGTGTGAAAACATAAATGAAAGACCAACTTACTGTTTGGCTCGTCTTGCACCACTTGGTAACTACTTGTTGCAATTAGACAAGTATTTGCCTAACTAAATTACTTAATCTCCATGTGTTGACCTGAATTAGTCCTGCATTTGCAATGGAAAGCGAATACAATTGTGAGTTGGTTTTTTAGGTTCCACATTTACAGTGCGTAAAATGTACTACAAACAGGTGTACTGCGTGAACGCCTTTTTCTATTCAGTGTTGTAGCCGCTGTGAATATCAAAGGCAACTATTCTGAGTATAATAGCAAGGTTGCGCAGAGCGCATGCATAGATGCTTAGCAGGTTGACTCCCGCCCTGTTTATTCCACTGCGTGTGGTGTACACAATCTCACACTTACGTAACTGACAGCCATTAGTGTCACTGTTTATTGTGAACAAGGGACTTGGGAATAAGTGCCTCTAGTTGAGCGCTATATGCTGAAATGTGATGCCAGCTGTCGCCGATTCATTTTGCTGGACGGGTACGAGTGGTGTCATTTTTCTGTTTCGTGCCTGTGCGCTATTTGCAGGTGTACGTGCGCATCAGAGACGACGAGTGGAACGTGTACCGGCGCTACTCGCAGTTCTACGCCCTGCACAAGCAGCTGTGCAAGAAAAACCCCGTCGTCTACTCTTTTGACTTCCCACCCAAGAAGTCGATAGGCAACAAGGTGTGCCGCCAAGTTCATTTATTGAGCAAATTGTTTCGTCATCAAATGTGGGGATGGGGGAGCTGAGTGGGAATGTGTGAATATTTGAAAATGCGAATATTTTAGTGTTTGCTATTTGATACATCATATTTGTGTCTTGATTAGTAGCACTAGTCCTGAAAGTGGCCCCTTCAGGTTTTTCATTTGCTTCTTCATGTCACCATAGGCATTGCAGTAAAGCAGCGTTTTGGGCTCTGCTACGGCCGCAAGCAGATCGATTTGCGAAAGCTGTGGTTCGAACCTTTGGCCCGAGTGGCAGACTTGAACAGGGGTTGTATTCATCGTCTGTCATGGTTTTTCCCGCTGTTCCAGGATGCCAAGGTCGTGGAAGAGAGGCGTCAACGGCTCCAGCGATACCTGCGCAGCGTTCTCAACTTCCTCACGCAGACGTCGCAGGAGCTGATTGACAGTCCCGACAGAGCCACCCTTGTCAGGCTGCTTCCTTTCTTCAGGTGAGAGACCTGATCATAACGAGGTAGTTGATGTGTGTGTGCACTCTTGTGTTCTTGCTGAAGCTGACCGGCGGCAAACAGAACGATTACTACAGCAGCAGACCAGTTTTTCACTGTTAAAAGCCAACATCAATGTTCTAAAGTGGGCATTCGTTGTACCAGTGGTTGAATGAACGCTGATGAGCGAAAGTTTGTCCAAGACTCTGCTGGTGCTTAAAACGTAAATAGACGCACGATGCATGGGCGGAAGCATGTGTGACAAATCTCGCATACACGCCTTTTACGACTTATTTGATAAGCTTGTTCTGCAGGCTGGTTGCATGGCAGCTGCCGGATCGGCGAGCTCATCAGTTCAGTGCTTGAATAGATGCCAGGAAAACAACAAAAATATAAAGCTGCTATTCCTGCTCAACTCTGCTGCCATATTAGCATACACTTGCAGAGCTTAATCGGCAGCTATTATTGGTTGTCAAATGCACCAAGAAATTTAAAGACATCTGTGAAGAAAAACTGTGTTAAGTATATGACCATTCTTTACATTTGGCAATAGTCCGCTGCCCCCCTTGTGGCTAAATACCTGAATGATAAATGGTGATGCCTGTCACCTCCATGAAGCCCGCACACTCATGACAGGCTCCGTCACATGATTGCGATATACTTATTTGGTTATATTTAAAGCAGAAGTTCAGGTGATGGTGGAAGCTTGAAAATATGAAGAATTCTTGAACACAGGTTGTTGCGGGACCCAACATTGGACAAGCTGTCTTATCTTCTCCACAACAGCAAAAGCTGCCTTGAAGAAGGCAAGACTGCTTGTGTGTGTATGTGTGTGCGACACCCCATGTTTGAGGGTGCCACATTTTTGGGCTCATGTTCATGTTTGGGGACGCCCCACGTTCCGGGTGTCCCACACCGTGAACATGGGCACGAACGTTTCATGCTTTTTTAAAGCGGCATTTACAAGTAGAACATCCTCGTTCACTTTTCCAGGGAACAAGACACGACGCACCCAAAGGTTCGACAGGCACGACGCACAGCACAGCGGCTCCGCGTGCCAGTGGTAGCGGGCAGTTCGCCTAGCCAAGGCGCCAGCTCGTCCCAGGTGCCCGTGCGCCACTACATGGGTCACTGAACGCTGCTTGGTAGGCGAGAAGAGACCAAACCACGTCCGAGAATCTCAGTGACTTGTCAGTCCTGGCACCCTTGACCTTCCCTACCTGGCTACTGTCGTGCGTTAGCAAAGGTTGAGGAGGTGCCATGTATTTCCTGTCTTTCACCTCGTGTCCCGTCGTGAAAATACCCTTGTTCCTTTCGTCGCAGGAGTGCTCTTTCCGTAGTCTCGGAACAGAGCCAGCTCGCTGTCGCAACATGTGTTTTTAACTGCTGGTGCTGATGCCCACAAATGGCAAGGAAAAATGCTGTACGATGCTGATTGCGCAGGCTAAGTTGCGCCACCTATCGTTTATGTGCCCGTGGCATGGACGGTGTTGTTGGCAGTCGCGCGGGTCAACATATCGGTGCCCAGGTACTGAATTTTTTTTTCGAATGTCTACGTTGCCCATCAGGGTCATAGCCATCAAAGTTTATATAAGTTCCTGTTGGAGAAACACGCAGGCTGACACTTTCTCGATGTACCGGCAACGTTTTCGCGGTGCACTATTTCTCTGCATTCATCGGCACTGGCCTCGGTGCTGTACACATTGCATTTGGGTAGTGAAGTAGGCTGTATTGAATAGCACAGCGGTATAGCTTCAGCCTAGCATCGCCATAGGTAGTGAAGAAAAAGTGGTCAGAGGGGCTGAAGACGGGCTGTTCGTCGTTTTATCAACAATAGTTGATTCTCTCACGACGAGGGACGTGTTTCAGGTCTATACAGGCTTGTCGAGGAATCGGTGCACACGTCCGATGGTCCGATGGCTCTGGTCGTTCCTTATTCGATACATGAACGCTTTTTCTTCGTTTTGCGAGGCACTCAATTGATACGAAAGTCTGCCTGGGTTGGACCACTGTTTAGTTGTGTTTTATCTGAAAAGTAAGGCGTTAGAATTTTGAGACCAAAGTATGGGTCTTGAAACTGAAATCAGTAGTGAAAACAACATATTAACGTACATATTAACGTAATGTACTCTGTTGCTTCTTATGGGACCTGTGTTGATTATATAAAGCTTGCTTGAAAAGAAAAGTAATGTCTGTGGTTGTGAGTATTTGGGAAGTTTGCATGCTTTCTTCTCTCACTCTTTTTACACTGATGATTTACATTAGTGATATCTTTGTAAAGTGGGTGGCAGTGTTTTTTCTCACAACACTGCATGTTCAATGGTTATGTTCCATGTACCTGAAGTATTTTCGAGGGTTGAGGGCACACAGTTTACATTTATGGTTGTAATCAGAACTCACTGGAGTACGTCATTTTGTTTTGCCGCAGCGCATTTTTGATGGTGAAACAAGAAATGTGTCTTTGCTAATCATTTATGCAATATTTAGATGTGTTCTGCATATGGTAGGGGACAAGATTGTAGGATATTGAATCTACTGCCAGTTAAGAAAAAAAACTTGGGTTCACTTACGCCAGTACATAACTTTGCTTGATTACCTGTAAAAGCATCGGATGCTAAGATCTGTACCTGTAACTTGCAAGTGTACATAGCTACGGGTATATAAGTTCGTTTATTTACTAGAATTGTAGAAGTGACACCTATCGAGGTATACAGCAGACACTGAAACAAATATATTATGGTTGGCACTGACTGATGGTTTTGACATTTTATAGTCATTTCGCTAGGCCAAACTTAGTATGAACAGAATTCAATATTTGTCGTAGTTCTTGAGAAGTTGAGGTGGCATAAACGTGACTCAAGGACCTTTTCTCTTGACATATGGTGAGCGTAACTGTCTATAGTGATAGTAGTCAGTGTACCAGGTCGAAAATTCAAAAGTTCGCAATAGTATTTTTAAAGGTAGCCAAAAACGAGGAAGTTCCAGGCAGGAAGTTTAAGAAGTAGCCAAACCATGACTGAACAATAGTAAAAGAAAAGGCATGCCCTGCAAAACTTTGTAAAAAGCTTTTGCCGAAAGTGGCCCAAAACTAGTTATCCCGGGCACACTGGTATAAGCAAGGCTAAAAGTAGTGAAAAGAATAGCCAGATTAGAACTGAATGGTCGTCGTGTAAATATGAAGTTATGCGGTGTGAATGACGAAATCTTAGCGAGATGGAATGCGTTAATATTTTGTGCAATTTAATGCATTTCATTATTACCGTGAAATTTGATTGTCGTAATTTTACTGTACATACTTACCGTATTTACTCGATTCTACCGCGCCCTCGATTGTAACGCGCACCCGATTTCCACCGCAAAAAAAAAACGTAAGACATCGATTGCAACGCGCACCCATTTTTCTCGCTGGCCCGCACGATCACACCACTCGAAAAAACGACTCCTTTCGGGAGCGTCTTCCATTTAAATATGAGGTACGGGCGAAGCTTGTGCCCGTCTGATGTGTAACAGAGCATTGCCGTCACTGTAGTTTTACCGTGGACCGATGTCAGCACGCGAACTTGCTTCGCCCTCTTCTTCTCGACGGTTGTGGTGCCAGGCATGTCGAAGTAAAGAGGCGTCTGATCGGCATTCCCGATTTGCCCAAGCAGGTAGCCGTTGTTGCGCCGCAAGTTTAGGACGAACCTCTGAAAACTGTGAAGCTTTTCATCGTACTCTTCCGCAAAACTTTTCGCATATGCATGTTCCCCTTCGGAGGGAAAAGCTTTTCCTCTTCATAAAGTTAGTCAGCCAGCACCTGCTCGCTTTAAACTGGCTCCGCATTAGACCTTTTTCTAAGACTAATCGCATAGCCCGCACTTAGAGCAGTTCCGTCGTCACGGGCCGCTGTGCCGCTCGCTGCTCAAGCACATACTCGCCGAGCAGCTCTTTAATTTGGGGAAACCGACCCTGCTGTGGTCCACTGAAGCCTTTGCGTGAAGCTTTGCTGTGGACAATCTTCTGCTTTTGTTTCCGCCGGTCCCGCACGCACGTTTCGGAAACTCTGAACGACCGCGATGCGGCCCGATTTCCGTCCGTTTCTGCACACGCAATGACTTTTCTTTTAAAAGCAGCATCGTGGTGCACTCGAGTTTTTGGAGTCGGCCCTTCCACGCCGTCGATGCTAATGCACTACTAGATGACGAACTCCTCAGCACACGTACGAAGTTCCGCACATGGGCAACACATAGGCAGAAATGGCCGACGCGCCATGCCGACGCACGTAGGGGGCGGCCATTTTAGATTTCCCGATGGCAATAGATTGACCGTAATTTTTTTGTTCGTACTCGATTCTAACGCGCATGCGATTTATGAACTCGCTTAACTGGAAAAAAGGTGCGCGTTATATTCGAGTAATTGCGGTATGTATTTAAGGTATTTATATATTTAAATAAATACAAACATATAACTGCCGTACTTTATAGTGGCTGTCGAGTTACGCGGCAAAACAGTAAGCCACTAGATTTCTTTTTCAGCCAATAGTTTTTGAAAGGAAGCACAGCGTAGCTCTAGCTGGAAATTATAATCCATGATATACAACTTTGAAATTGCTTAGTACCAAACTTGGTAATCAGGTTGTGTGTTGCGGTTTCTCCACGACAAATTTGCGCCCATCAAGTGCGCAGTGTCACACAGCTTCGAGTCATTTGCTGCACGTCTCTCGTAGATAAGTTTAGCGATCGCTACAGGCACATCTTGCTGTCTTATTGCTGGCTTCAGGAGAGCTATAGTGTTTTGAACATTGTTGCTGCATCTGGCGTTCGTACTTGCAGAGCTTTTACACTTAAAAGGGAACAGTAAAACAGCTCTCAGTCGTGAAACAACAATACTTGTAGAACGATATAGGCTGTTGGCATTTTGCGCGTGAGTTTTGCAGAGTGATACTTTGCTAGGCGTGCCAGACGTAGTTATGGCATTTGCGTATTGTTCATATCTCACCACATTCATTCGGGCTTGTTAAGTCGTTTGACAGAAGTTCGTCTGTTAGGGAAACAGTGAGAAATAACAAAAAAAAAGTGTAGCCAGGCTTAAAATTTTCACTTTCACTATAGCCAAGCTTCACTAAATTTTTCACTTGTTTGCATGCTTGGCAACATTGCTAACAATCAAGGACTTCTCGGCTCCCTCAAGAGTGGCAGCGTCTTTTAAATATATAAAAAAAAATGCCTTTTTCCTCTCTGCGTGTTTTTTTGTTACTTTGCTTCGTCAAACTGCGGGTGTTTGCAGGTTCACGAATGTGAGTGTCGCGGGGTTGTAAAACGAATTTGCAACTAGTGGGGGCATATGACAACTGTGCTTTTTTGGCATAGTATTCAGGCATGGATAGTGTCATATAGTATGTTGTTTTGTTATCTAAAGTCTCATTTTTGTGAAATTTGCCACAATCTATGAACCTATGGCACATGGTGAATTACTTTGGGGGGGGGGGGGGGGGGTTCCTTGTGCTACCTGTATGTTTAAGATCTGTGCGTACTTTGAGTGTAGTATGACCTAATCCGTGGTAACTATGAAGCTGTGTGAGCTTGCTTTTACGCCGTCTTAATGGCCACACGGTTCCAGACTGTGTGAAGCTACCATGTCAACTTACTGAAGTTGGTATCTAGCCAGCCTCAGTAATGTGTACCCCCACTTTATGTGCTGTTTTGTGTGATGTTTGATCTTAGTACCATTCTTTAGTGACTATGAAACTGCATGAGCTTGTTTTTTCACCTTCTTGAATTTCTGCATGGTTATGAGTGCATGAAACTGTTGCTCCTTGCAGATTGCTCGGTTAAGGTAAACCTAGGTAGCAGAGTGATGCTCGTGGTGTCATCTAGTGGTGCATGATTTAACTGTAGAGAACGCGTGGCTGTTATTGCTGTCACTGACCACATTTAGTTTTTATTGTTTGCATTGGCGCTTGTATATGAAGCCTTTGTAACGTTTTTTTTAAACCCACCTACAACTCCAGTAACCCAGTATTCTGCATACCGTATATCTGTTTTGGGGCATTTAAAACTTGCTGTTACTTGGATCTACCAACTAGGTCAGCCTGTCATCATTATGTGCAAAAAAATTTTGTGCTTGAATTGCATTACAGCACAGCAGGTTTGGTAACAAACATTTTGACATTAATGAAAAGAAAAGAAAATGGCATTGCCAAAAAAGGGGAGTGGGAAGAGCAGCTATGAAGTAGTAATAGTAATACAGTTCAACCCCTTTATAAGAGGCATGCTCTAGGCAGCAATTCTTGTCTCTTATAAACAGGGCACTACGTAGGCATTTTTTTATCAACCCGTATTTTATACCAGTTTCTTCTTAAATCCGTCTCTTATACCCATTTGTCTCATATCAGCATCTCTTATAAAAGGTTTCGACTGTATAGTAATAATAATGATGTAAGATCAGAAGACAGCACAATAAACATATGCCGACAGGGAAACAACTGATCAATGGCTTTGCTGTGTACTTGTTCCTTCCGTCTTTATCGCACCGCTTACCTACTCTAAAGGTTTGAATCAACAGCCCAAACCAAACTTTTCCGAAAGAGTACAAGTCATAATATCGAGTTGAAGATATTGCAATATATGTGCAAACCACAGAGCTAGGTTTAAAATAAATTTTATACTTTGCGAGTCATGCTGTGCCGAAATCTAGCCATTTTGCACGATCTTAAACATGATGCAGAGTGACCATTCCATCTGATTGTTCCCCCCCCCCCCCCTTTTTACACACACGCAAAAAAAATTGAGGGAAGATGCGATAAAAAAAAAAAAGATGTGTTAATCTGTGGTCTAAGGCAATGAAATTTTTGTTGTATATATAGACCTTTATGCTCATTTCAAGTATGTAATTTGCTTGATAGTAAGTGGTGCAGTTTTCGTATTGTGCCGTGACATTGTGTAAAGTATAGTTCATTTCGGACAAACGTTTTATGCCAATAAACTTTTGTGGCACTGAGCCATTAAAGGCTGATAATTTACTGTAGAATGCAAACAACTGTCAAGAAAGTGCGTATAAAGCATTTTGATGGTCAAGAAAAATTTTAATGTTAGAGTTCTCAGTATATAGAAATTGCTCACTTTAAGTCCGTATTAATTGGCAGGCAACATCAAGTTTTAAAGGGGATACTTGCACCCTTCTTATGCTAAGAATTATGTGGGCGAAATTTCATCCAACTCTAGAAAAACGCATTGTAAAGGTATAAGGTATGTGGAAAAGATATGGTTTATTGAGATGAGATCTTCCATCATGAAAGCTTGGCAATCATGGTTATTTTGAGTATGTGGCTTTATTGACCTCTTCATGCAATTTCATGCAATTTCCAGGAGACTCTCAAAAATGAGCTGTTCTTAGTTTGTAGTAGCCACCTTGTGCTCTTAAAAGCCATTTTAACCTATTTCGAAGTTAATTACAATGTTCAGTGTTTTGGTAAGTTTTTTGGGTAGTGAAAGTAGAGAAACTGAACTTGTCTAAGCAAAAACGAAAGATGTAATTTTGGGGAACTTGTTTTTTCGACTCGATACTCCCCTTAAATTTATGAAAATGCGGTGTATGTCTCGATGGATAGCTGTGAGCACATTATTTAAACACCTTTGCTAATTTATCTGCAAAGTCATGTTTAGAGAAGCACAGTATTGGGCAGGTTTGTAAGGTTCAATGCAAGATGCCTTTATAGTGTTTGCTCTTTCTTTTTTTTCCTGCTTTTAAGTAACATGACACAGTCTGTGCACATACTGCACATTGCTTATGTACAACATTCCCTCCTGCCAGTATTTTAGTTGTAGCATGCAGCATTATGCATGTTTGTTTGTACATAGAAATATTGACAGTGGTTATACATATATATGTGCACTTACACTTTGCACCCATAGATGATGCTGTATAATATGGATCTACTCTGCATGGTGCACACACATACCTATTGTTATGTTTGGCGGATGTTGCAGGTAGTGTTTCTGCTCAGAATGATAAGACTGCCAAAGTCCTGAAACAGTCATCAACTGCAATTGGATGCAAATTGCTTGTACAGGGCACACGAACTTTCTTGCAGCATGATCCCTGCATGTGCATCACTATGGAAGACGGGAGACATGATCTTAAAGGGGCCCTTCAACACTTTTTGAACATGGTTTGAAAACGATGCCGATCGGTACTAGAGGATCCCAACAACACGCGAGCCAAATATTATAGCGCAGCACGCAGCCTGAAATAAGCAATAAATTATCAGAGTCAGCTATAAATTGCTTTATCTTCTCTCGACCAATGACAGAAGACGCTCAAAAATCA